CAATATGAAGGCGTATACTATACATTGTAGTTATTATTCTCACCACTTATCAGCTTAATAATCGATCAATCATAGTCGGTCTGTTACATTACGACCTTCATTATCCAGTATTAGTACAGAAGGAAGCCAGAGAACCTCGAAAAACAAACAAAAACAACTGCTATATATTTATCACAACACTCACATCTGACCCGGTGATTCGAACTCGGGACGTGGGGGTGAGAGGCAAGCGAGCTACCACGGTATACAGCTTAATCGTAGCTGTCTACCAATTTTAACTATTTCTAATTACTGTTTTTTTAATCGTGGTGTTAATTAAGTGATGGTGGGGGAGGATGGGTGCCACAGCTGCACACTTCCGACAACAACAAAAAATAGTTCCCATTTCAGCCTCGGGTTTAGTAGGTAACGTTTGTGATATAAAGGGGTTAAAGGGTAGGGTAGGGTAGGGTAGGGTAGGGTAGGGTAAGGTAGGGTAGGGTAAGGTAAGGTAAGGTAAGGTAAGGTGTGCTCTGAGTCAAGTCTTGATGATATGTAGAGAGACAATAAGCTGTGTGTGTGTAAGAAACCACTTCAGAAAAAACACATAATGCTCCCCGTTTCAGTGGGGTCAAATAGAAGCTCAACACTATTAATAAATCGTAAGTAAGTAGAGGTCTGGGGAAGGCGGGTGGAAAAGATATAAAAATATTAGGGAGTAAAGCAGACAGCGGGCGAAGCGTGGAAGAAATTTATCGTTTCCCCTCGGCAGACTGCGAGAGAGAGAGAGAGAGAGAGAGAGAGAGAGAGAGAGACTTTAGCAGAGTCTCCAAAATGAAAGAAATTTGACCTGATAATATAATGTAAATTATATAAAAAACTTGTAAAGGGTCAACGGAGAGGGAGGTTTAGAATAGACTGTATAGGTTTATTTTTAGTTCTAAGGAATAATAAAATAGTTATGAATAATTGTGGATAAACAAAATTCAATACCTGTTCCTCGTCGCCAAATATTCAGAACAGGAGAAAATTGTTGCAGATATTGTCCAGGGCAACGACGGCGGCTTCTCAATGGTCGATTCTCATAACCTGAAAGAAACTGAGAAAAATATCGTACAGATTGTCAGTTTTACTTAATTTCAATCAATACAAGTAAAATAATATTATCACATGCTCATATAAATTAAGATTATATTTACTTTTTAATACAAAGCTCATAAGAGTATTTTTTTTATAATATATTCAGTAGATAATAGAATGTTTGTACATAAGGCAGCGAAAACCAAAGTGCAGGCAATAATTTATGACTTCATTTTTTCATCCAATATAAACCAACATTTTCTTCGTGGTTTAATCTGTTGTGGTTGTTGTCATAATGTTATACTGCACATAAAAAAACCCTATTAAATCACTGTACTAAGCCACTCTACTATATCCCTGACATAATTATTAACTGACCATTTATCATCACTGGATAAATACAAGTTGACTTAGAGAATTACAGTATATTACCATGATTAGATACGAGTGTGTTGTGCTTTAGGTGTGGATTAAAAATAAAATCCTTTGATAAGACAAGACTGCAGTAGTGGTTTCTTATGACTCTCGCATGCCGGATAATACTTTGATATGATAAATAGTTTCGTATAATTTACACGGGGAAAGTTATACATGCCGGAGATATGAGAATTATTTTGGAAATTTAATTTGAAATGCGGTGATGATAATTTGGAATCACCTGAAGATTAGCCCTCCCCAGCTTATTTCACCTAAAGATTAACCACTCTAACGCTAACCTACAGTAACCCCCAAAGACTAACCTAATCTAATCCCCCTAACACTAACCTAACTTAACCTACCCCCCCCTAGCTAGCGTTATTATCCAATCATCAAGTGAATCCAATAAACTGAAGCTTCGAACCTCAACCGACTCTGAAACCGAATTCCGATACACCAACACAACACTCCCACGCGCTTATTTCAGTACCGTAATTAGTGCTAAGTGAAGATATTTACTTAACGAGTCTCTGTATAATTATGAGGCCATTATTGGCGTCATTTTTACGTTTTAGCCTCAATGACCCACAGCTACGAGTGCCATTTATGCAAATTTAATCTTACGAACCTTGTAGGATGTGAAGCCTTTGTCGGGATTCACAATGGACTATAAGATTATTTTTGTCTTTTAATCTCAATGTAATTTTGATACTATTTTGGCCATGTTTTTTTTTTACTATTTAGATTAACTCGCCAATACTCCCATCTATCACTCTATCCTTCTCTCTCTCTTTCTCTATCAATCTCCTCCAGCTTATTTCACCTAAAGATTAACCACTGACTTAACCTAACCCTGTCCTAAACTAACCTAAACCTCACTTAAACTAAACTAACTTAATCTGATCTAACTTAACCTCATCTAAACAAATAGCGTTAGGGTGGTTAATCTTCAGGTGAAATAAGCCAGTTCAGCCAGCCAGCCAACCGTGGTTAAGAGTCAGCCGACGTTCCCAACACTCCACTATTGTATTAATGAAGTTGTAAGAGGGAGGCAGACCTTACAGGGAACATTCCACCCACGTACACCCAGTGGAAGAGTGGCAGGGAGTGACCTGAGAAGGAGGCAGGGTGGATGGGTGGGTGACGAATATTTTCTGAGCTGGTTCCCTGTTCCCTATTATGCTACAGAGGCAACAGGTATAGATCTACAAATTACCTGTTGTATGCAAAACAATTCATTTATAGAAATTAATTATGTTACTTGATGCAAGAAATCGACTATTAAAAGATAGGAAATATATGCTTACGGTCTAGATGCGTTCTAGTATTACCAATTATGGGATAAATTTGACGTAAACAATGAAACGTCGAGATCCGGATTCCTACACTGTTGTTTTCATTTTTCGATGACGCAATATTTTTTCGATGACGCAATATTACCAACTATTCTCCTCTCACTTATATAAATCATATAATTTTCCATGGTCCAAATTCTCCCTGGCAGGCTGACGAGAGATTAATGTCATTTAAATGGTGATGAAAATCTCTTCCCACGCACCATTGCCAATGTCCCGTATGGCGACGAGCCGAAAGTTAATTTCTCACTGGAAGTTTTCAAGGACTTTTAACGAGTTTTCTTACGCTCAACTTACCAAATTACTGAATAACGACGATGGAAAACACTGCAGTAAAATCTATACACCAAATCACGTGATGGTTTTCGTGAGTTTTGAAAGTTGTAGAAAGACTTCAGACATATCGTTTTACTTTACCTTTATCCTCTTCGCCACTTAAACGGTCGGTCACGCCTCTACGCAGTTGGTAAGTACTGGGCATGTACTGGTTCCAAAATGTATCGGAACCAGCACCAATATTGGTAAACTCTGGTCTTGAATGAACTCACACTCGGTGCCTGAACTTGTGACTTCTTCAACCTTAAGCTGCCCTAAGTGAGGCGAGCATCCGCCAGCTCCAGCTCCAGGTATGAACAGTCGACTGAATAATGCCCTCCGAGATGTTTATAAACTTCAATAATTGAAGGAATAACATAATTATTGTCACCCCTTCTCACCTGTGGTATAAACTCGGCAGTTGCAGGTGTTCTAAGCTCTCTGGCTGAGATGCCAGTGCAGGCACCAGCCTGGTGGCCGTTCTTTGGACATTTTCAATCAACTGTCAGTCCCTAGCATATCTCGGGGACCAGACGGGGTGACAATACTCAGTGAATACTCCTTGTCTCCTCATTCCATAGCAATCGCTTTTCTGTTATTTTAACCTCGGCTTGCTCTTATCATTAACCAAGTAACAGTTAAATCTGAAAGACAACGTCACGTGGTGGCTGGTGCAGACGAGGGCGAGGTGTTCCAGCTTGGCCACCATACCCTCCTCGTTAGTTATGATGAGGTCCAGCAGTGTTTGTGGCTCCCCTCTGTAGTGACTCGGATCTTTAACATGTTGGAATAAAAAATTGTCTCTCAGTTTCCACAAAGAGAGTAGCGGAATTATTAAGGTCATTTAGTATGGTTTCATTCCCCCAGTCGATGTCACTATAGTTCAAAGTCCCCCATGATAAGGAGGTGGCTAGGGTTAAGCGCCATTACGTTGTAAATTAAGCCCCTTAAGTTCCTTTGGTTTAATAAGCTGCAGTTTGGGGTTCTGTAGATACATCCAACTATGAATAAGTCTATCCCCCTTAGTTTAATTTTACACCACTTTGATTCTTCTAACCCCCCCCTTACACCCTCACCTGGCTGGCTCTAAGGTCTTGTCTAGCTTGAGTAACCACTTAAATATACTTTCATTCAGTAAAATCGCCAAAAACTTAACATAGGTTCGTACATACAGTAGACAGTAGAGGTATATAAACAACGGTAGGTAGAGAGAGAGAGAGTTTTATAAAAGCCACCAAACACATTCACTAAAACTCTATTAGACACCAATACCCGAAAGCTTCTTGTATTACTCACACTAACGCAAAAAAAAAATATATTGTAGTATATTATATCACGATAACGAATGAGAGGAAGAATGTGTAACTGAGCAAATTTTAAACAACTAAATGTAATGTAAATACCACATAAGGTAACTACAATTTAATGTAAATGTAATGTAACTAGACTGAGATATAACATTAACTCAACAAAGATACTAACAAAGTTGGGTAAATCAATTTCCATATCGTTACGCAATTGTAGAAAGGTTGCGGCAGGTTGTCTGAAATACATGGATCACCTGAAGATTAGACCCCAAAGTTTATGCAATTTAATAATTAATCATCCTAACGCTAACCTAACTTAAATTACCCTAACATTACTTAAACTACCCTAACCTAACCTAACCAAACTTATATTTAACTAACCTACCGTAACCCCTCAGATAGCATTAAAGTAGTTATTATTCTTTAGATAAAATAAGCTGGGGTGACTATAATCTTTATATGATCCCAACAAATATACCCGAGATTATATTGTGCTACAAAAGATTAGTTTAGATTGTAAAGCATTAAGTTATTTGCGTCGTCATACCTTCAAATTTTCCGCCGTCAAACGTATTACTAGAGCTTATCGTATAATGACTTATCAGTAACCGCCAGGGAGTCAGGGACGTCGCCATCACTTAGGCCAGTGGTGAATATTACAGCCTTTTCTGTCTCTCTTCGAGTTTAATATAATTCACAATCTGACTATTTGGTGTATGAATGTGTGTTAGAATGACGGTGGTGGAGAAAACAGTGGATGACCCTCAAACTCACGTGATCTTGTTTAGAACGTAAATTGTTTCATAGATCGCTCCCAGCCATACAGAGGGCGTCATGGCTTAGGCCCCCCATAACAGACTACAATATCTAAATCATCCTCAAGTTAACTGATGCATAAAAAAGTAAGTGTTGAGGAATGTTATTAAGTTTACTTGAGAAGAGGAAATGCCATAATATTACCGATACGTTTTGCTCACCATTCAACAAGTGGGCGAGGCGATGTTGTAGATGTATTACTCGGAAAGTTTGGCTTGATTTTATTGTGAAATCATTCTTTAACCTTCATTATGGTTTTTCATGTACAGAGTTGAATAATACTTAAAGTCAAGAGTAGGGGAGTTAAACCAAATACTGTACAGTATAGTCCAAGAAATCCTTTGAACAGTAAAGCAGTATATTGTGTATCCTAGATTGTGGTTCCTTAGCAAGGATTCTGAGACTATAGCAGGATAGCTCACTCCAATGGGCGAAGGAGTTCACCTTCAATGTGGCGCCGCCAAGCGGCCGAAGGTAAACAAAATAATTACCGGCAAGGAGTAAAGGGAAGACGAAGAATTCGGCGAAATTCCGACTCTATAAGGAACATAAATGTGTCTTTCTATTGATTTCCGAAAGATCGAGAGGCGAGTCAGACACATACATTTGTCAATGTTGATTGTTCATTAGTTTTTATGAGCTATATCTTTATTTAATGTATTTAGTACTGATAATGTTCCACGCTTCAGAATTGCTTGTTAACATCAGTGTATCATAAGGATATATAAAACGAGCAGGATACTAATGTATGGTTGAATATATAAGACTGGAACTTTGGAGTTTTGGGTCATTAATCGTCTTAGGGCCGTTCACGATTTTATTCCTGTAAATTTCAGTGCTTTGAATGGATTTCACATTCATTTCTTGGACAAATTTATGAAAACTTTACCAAATCAACCCAAATCGTGGTAAAAACACAAAACAAACCAATCCTAACAAAACCTGACCTAGCCTAACTACCGGTATTCTACAATGAAGTGCATTGGCTGTGTTATATTATTTTTTTCCTATTAAATGGTGTAAAAATAGTGTAAAGCTGTAGCTACCTCCATCGGTCTTACTGAAGAACAGATGGGAGTACATTCCCTTAATTAGGTAAATAAATATATTTTACTGCAAAAGAATGTGTTGCTTTGAGAATTTATCCCTAGTTATCAAAAGTTGAATGTCAATAATCTACTGACTATATATAAATTGTGTTATCGCACAATATTATGCAAAGCACACTTGTATGTTTTTTTTTTTTTTTTTTTACTCTCTGGCCACTAGGCAGCGCCACCGTCACGGGAGGATCAAGAATTTAGCATTGAGTAAACTATCCTCTTCTAGTTTGAGAATCCTTGGCTGGAGCTGGAGCAAACATGGGAAGGGTGGTATTCTTTGTAACAATCAAAATATAAAAAGTACTGTACTCCATTTCCTCCTATAAAAAAGTTCATGACTAAGTAACAGACAACAGACAAATTGCCCGAATGTATAGTAAGCTGATAAGTGGCGAAATATATTAAATTAATATCTTACTTCCAATAGGGTCTTGGAAAGGATGACTATTTAAATTAATATCTGGTGTTGTTAGGCTTTGTTATGGTTATATGTTAATTAGACTTTGCATATAAGTATTTATAATCCTAAATGTGTTATCCCAGTGAATGTTTATACAGTAACTGTATATAATATAAGAATTTTTACCTAGTCAAATCACACTATTCTATTGTAGTCTATTTTTGTGTGCATTTTTGGAACCCTGCACGATTCTGGTAATATGCAGTGCAGTTTGTGAATTCTCTGTGGTTGTTATTACAGAAATATTTCTTTTTAACATTTTCACCCTGAGAAAACCTAACCTAACCAGCCCTATTGTGTTACAGTTGTGGCATTCTGGACATCAGATTTTTGAACGAGTCAAAAATTGCATTCATCCTAAAATCCCATACAAGCCTGACACTACAGTAATGTTTAGATAAGGTATGAATTTTGTTGAATCATAAAGTACTTGTACAGTACTCAAACATAACCTTGCCTAAACTAACACAAATGTAACTTAAATTTAACCTCCTTGATTGAACTTCACCTAATTTAAAACAAACTCAACCAAAATGTACACAACTTTAATATAATCGAACCTAACCTATTATAACAACATAAAATAAATAACATAACCAATTTATACTGCCAGATCTGGGGTCACTAATTCTAAGGGGAAATACTTAACTCTAATTCTTAATTTCTAAGGGTTGCTGCCACCAATCCCCCTCTGGGCAGTATGCAGCTCGTTAGGTAGAGGGCAGAGTGAGCTAGGCATTGGGTTAGGTTTTTCATTGACCAGATCGATAAGGGGAAAGAAGGGTGAAACCATAACATGTCTTAACTAATTTATTCCTTATAAAACATACTTATTGCATAACAATCAGTGACCTTACCCGGTCATCCATTCTTACAATAACACTCAACACGTCAGACTGCACCTGTATGGAATATAGCACCTTAGGTTATCATACATGGTAGCATCATCTCACCTCCCTGTAGCATCACCTCCACACCTGTTACACTCCATACCTGCAAGTATGGGACTCCTTGTAATTTCTAGGTACATATATCAGGCACCTTGTTCGCACACCGCCCTCGGTGGGTAGAGACAAGGGATTCACCAAGAGACATACCAGTACTGTTTCTACGCCTGGTATTATAGGTCGCTCCCAGTGACGACCGCTGAGTTTCTCAACCTTCCTTATGTATTTCTACTCATTTGGGGTGGTATGCTGGGACTCCACAGGTTCACAGTGGAAGTGCATGACCACTGTGGTGTGGCCTTCACAGTGTGGTTATAGCTGACGCCCGGTAGGCACTCAGAACGCGTCGTCCTATGTTGGGAGAAGTCGAGGCAGACGCTCGCCCCACAAGGGGTCACAGCTCAAGATTGAAGAAACCGCAAGTCCAGAAAGCTGCAAGGGCAAACTTTTTCGGAGTGACGGTTGTGAACACTCTGCCAGAGAGTGTTGTGACGGCACCGAGTGTGAGCTCTTTCAAGACAAGACTTGACCAACACTGGAGCGGGTTCGGGTACATTCAGGAGCTGGTGCATGCCCAGTATTTGCCAACAGTGCGTGACAGAGACGTGACCAATCACCCGGGCGGCTAGCGAGCCGATCTTTTGGTGAAGAGGATAAATGAAAAGGAAAACTGCTCAGAGACGTGACCGATCACCCAAGCGGCTAACAAGCCGATCAGTGGTGAAGAGGATAAAAGTAAAGTAAAATAATCTAACCTAACTTAGACTCAATCAAGAACATTACAGCATTATTGTCCACATCAATGTTTTTACAGCCATTTTCCACACACACTGGCCTAACACTCCTAATACTGTATATAGTATTGTACACAAAACTAGGAAAAATATTAAATTTTTATACAGTAATTTTTAACATCCAAACATAAGAAAGATTTTGCTTTTTTGAATGATACTCTTGAATTTATGTACAGAATAGGGTGATTGATTGATTTTTTATTCCAGGTTAAGTTGTTGTACCTTGTAAGGGATTATTTTAATTATTCTAAATTTAATTGTTGGATTTGTAGTTATGTTCTGTTGGGTCACTTGAAGAATCGCCACCCCAGATTATTTCACTTAAAGGTTAACCAAACACCCTAACACTATTTGGGGGATGTCGTAAGGTTAGGATAGATGAGGTTAGTGTAAGGTTAAGTGAGGTTAGTGTAAGGTTAAGTGAGGTTAGTGTAAGGTTAGATTAGGTTAGCATTAGATTAGCATTAGGGAGGTTAATCTTTATGTGAAATAAGCTGGGGTGGAGATTCTTCAGGTGATTCGTTCTGTTTGATTAGCTCTTAAAACCATAGAAAGTTAGTAATATATTGGACTGCTAAATCAGTAGAAAATTAATAAGATATTGGCGAGTTAAGTCTATAGGGAGTTAGTTGGTAATATATTGAACTTTTAAATCAATAAAAAGTACGAAATATAATACCATTTTGAAGTAATATTCTGTCTAGTTTACAAAATTTGATTTTTTTACCGTGTTCCCAGATATAATTTATTTTCTTATTGATACGATAATCAAGTAATATTTTGTAGATCTCCACATTTTCTACTGTTTCTCCAAGATACTAATTACTGAACTAAGATCACATTCTCTATACAAGTACTAACATCCTTTTCTCCATTCTGTACAGTAACTAAAAACTAAGATCTCAATCACTAGTACATTCTTTTACTCCTTTCTGCAATTAAAAACTGTAATAATTTCCACAGGGAGAACAAGTTTACCCCGACAGCATAAACAGACACCCTTTACCAGTTGTATACATAGAGATACATGGCCCAAGGAATGAAATCTCTTATATTTGTACTGTACTCAATGCTAAGGCAGATGTCAGCGACTAATAGCACTCACCCATAGACGCCTCACACAGCTCAGGTACCAAGGTAACTTTTTTTTTTTATGTACTGTACTGTATAGTGTTTCATAGGTGTCACTAATTTTGATTTTGTAAGAGAATTTTGTTTTAAACTTTTATTATATTTATTTTATTTATTATTAGTTAGTACAGTATATGTTTTTATAAACCTGAATCATTTACCAGAAATTTTTGGATTTTTTCATCATTCTCTTGAGCACATTATGAATAACAGTGGCAAATATATTCAACCTATCATTTAAGGGGATTTTGTAGAATGGATTAAAATTTTATATATGATTAACAGTGAACAAGATTCCTCTACAACTTTGTGTTAAGCAGTAATCTGGGCTGTTTGTGTCAAGTGGTTCAGCTGAGGTTTACTGCATTTACTATGGTATACTGAGAGAAGGGTTGGCTCATGTAGCAGTAGTCACTTGGCTTAAGACTGCTGTAAGTAGATATATTTTTATTATTTAGAGTCAATAATTCCTTTGAACCAATATTCTTGTAAACACAGATTTAATACGACAGCTATTAATTACTGATGCACTAACTTGTCATTGATATTCTTTTAAAACAAACCAAACCAGGTCAAATTTATCTCAGATATTTGCTAAGACAGTTAGTTAAGGTCACTTTAATTTGAATTAGGTTTAGTTAAGTTAGGGTAGGTTAGTTCATTCTGTACTTTAAGAAACTTTACAGTAAATTACCATGTTTGTACTAATAGCTGATTAATGGTATAACATCTAATTCCTTATTTTTATCATCATTATTATTATTACTATTACACACATTAATCATTTCACCTAACACACGAGGTTGGTTCACCAGACATGGGGTTGTGTGTCAGCTGATGTAGGGTTGGGTTAAATTGTCTCTTGAACAAAATTTCTCATTTTGTGACCATTGGAAAGAATTTTAGCACCTTTTTAATTAATTTGCAATACCTAATCAACAGCTCCCTTGAACCCCTAACTCATCAAACTCTCATATGACTGCTGCCTATTTGTATTAATGAAAACCCTGACCTTGAATGGTGGCTGACCTGTTGCTCATACCTGATCACCTGAAGTATATCCACCCCAGCTTATCTCACCTAAAGATTAACTACCCCAATGCTAATCTAACTTAATCTCATCCCCACAAATAGTACGAAGGTGGTTAATTTTTAGGTGAAATAAGCTTGGGTGGACTGTGTGATCCTGCCATATCACAACAACAGCCGAGCTGTACTCGGGCTACATGTGGCTATTACTCAGTGCAGGACTGTTCTCCCCTGACATGTGAATAACACAGTGTAAGAACAATGCCCAAGCAAGTACGTTCAGTTAAGGCCCCAAAGAACAGAAAGTGCCTTACCATGGAGGATAAACTTGAAGTGCTAACCATGGTTGACAATTAATGCTCTGTTCCCCGAAATAATGCAAAAAATTTTAACTGAATATGCTAAAAGCTTATTGTAAGTATGATCCAATTCATCTCCACTGAATGTGGGACTCTTGCATCACCTTCACTACATAACACAGGTCTTCAGGTAGCTGTGAAACATCCATACATACATTCACCTCCTACACAGAATACTGTTCACACTCATGCTCTTCATGTTGTTGTTTTGTTTTTTTGTTTTTTAAGTCACAAAGTACTGTAATTATTTTCACACAACTTTTATAGTTTCATTACTGTACATAAATCAGTGGCCATCTCAATGCCACATCACACCTTGTTCAGCAGTAGCAGTTAATAAGCTCTGGTAGTAGTATTATGAGGGAGTGTAACATCAGCCATGCAAGGAGTATACGTATAAGAAGGTGGAACAATGAATGTAAAGTCAACTTTGAACAAACATAGTAAATAAATTAAGAGTAGTCTGAAGTACAGTACAGTATAATATCCAAGTTCTTTTGTATGTAATGTTCACCTGTACAGTATCTGGGTGACTAAGTTGTACAGATGTGAGGGATTCAAGTTCTGATTTATAGCCATTTCATATACAGTATGTTGAGTGAACAAATTGAAGAAGTGTGAATGATTTTAGTACTGTTAAAGTCACTTGTATTTGATATAAGTGAAAGATAAGCAGATATGCAGTACCTGTACCTGTATATCAGCTATTTAGTAAGACTCGGCATAGTTTTTTCTTCTCCCCAGTTAGTTGTGAACTTAAAAAATGGGATTCATAATTATTAAACATGCAAGCATTAAAGGCCTTTCATGGAAATAAGCACCTGACACCTTTGTTGGCTATCCTTAGTCAAATTGCCTTTCTGTTTACCATTGTTGTTTACCTGCACTGTTGAGGTACACAGGAAACTGTATACTCCCACAGTATTCGTACACCATATACAGTACTGTACCTGCATTGTCTATACCATACTGTATTCATGCTGACCTGTTTAACTATATACCGGTAGTTTATATACATGCCTATCTAATTGTAAACCTGTGTGACTGAATAATTATTATCATTTTTATGTTCTCATTACTCATACAGAGCCGCTTCTCAAAGTCGTCTTGTGCTATGGTGATGATGTTACAGCAGCCACTATGATTATTTAGCTGTGGATTTGAATAAATATAAATGTGAACTGACCATTTGCACTGACAGTTTTTCATACTGAGTCATTTGACCCTTTTCTAGGTGTGTGGTGATGTGAAGACAAGTCATCATTTGCTCTGACAAACAACACAGCCAGCAGGTGACCCTTGTGTATGTAGACAATCATGTATGCAGACTTAAGGGTTACTCTCCCAGGTTTCAAATCCTTGGTACCAGATATCCATGATCTTCAAGTTCTGACTATTTTTGACCTTCTTCAAGGCAGTATTAACACCAACCGGATAACCTGTGATAAACAAGGCCTGTGGAGTTCAGATGAATTGAACCGTCTCAGAATAGATTTCACACGAGTGGACCGCTTATACCATGCCAAATTTGACCGAGGAGCACCACTTCAGAGTACCATAGATGAAGGTAAAGCAACGGCAGCACAGTTGGAGGTCGTAGTGCGCATGCATTATAATGGTACGTTCATCTTTGCAGAACTGGTGCTTGACTGTGTTATTCCTTGTATGCCGATATCTTGGGAAAACAAAGGCACACTGTTTGTCTCTTACAGTGCTAACATTTTCTTCAACACAATCCAAACTGTCACAGACAAGAGATTGTTTTATGAATCACTTATGGAAGACAATTACAACTTCCCATGGATATATGATGACACTTTAATATTAAAGGCAGAGCACACATTTCCCTCCTTGAAGTACCTCTGCAACAAGGCCCTCACTGAAGACAGCAAGAGAGTCGACTACTACGTGAAAGTTTTGCCAAGTGTACTCGGGAAGAGTTTGTCAGACTTTTCCGATATTGCCAAAGCGAGACACATCTACAACATCATGGTTTATCCAGCAGCTCGTCATTATCTTGCATTCGAGGACAATAATTTGTACTGGAGTGACGCAAACTCATATGAATCTTTTGAGAATTTTTTCCGTTGGATCGGAATGTGAGTGAGAAAATGCTGGATAGGTATTTCCTCATTCTATAAAGGAATGTTGTTGGGCCATGCAGTTTATAATATACAGTAACTTGGTATTTGTAAACTACACAGAAAACTAGATAGAATCTTTTCTGTGAATTAATAGATCATCTCATATTTAGTTCAGTCATACAAAATTTAGTTTAATTAACCACTTCACTACAAGGATGCCACATTTAAGATTTTATTTGGCTAATGCCAGACAATTTTATTCCACTGAGAGACCTTAATCTATACACAGAGATTTAAGAAGTTTTTTGTAATTACGGAATACAACAAACACATATATTATTGCGAATGTATTTTATCTACAGTACTTATTTTGGCACATTGTTATATATTAATAAACTTCATTTTGTTTTATTATTTGTTTCAATAATTCCATTAACATCAGCTACTGTACCCTATTGTAATGTTAATTTAACGGGTGTAGAATATAGTAGCAGTTTACATTGAGTCAATATGTATTCAGTAAACAGTGGAAAAATAAAAAAAATATATATATAAATACAAAAGTTACAACAGCCTAAAATTTACTAGTGTTCAATATATACTGAGAGGTGATTGAAAATATAATTTATTCGCTCTTGTCTTTTATCATTACGTAGGTTAACAGAAATCTTTCTCTCCCTCCAATTCTCTCCTCCCCATCACCTCTCTCTCTTACTCTCGCTGCTGTAATAGATATGTTCTGCTAAGATAATTTCCATCCACCTTAAGGGCCCAAAAACTAGGAGTACTGTAGTGTGTTGAGTTATGTGGTGTGTTAGATAGCGTTAGGCTGGTGTGTCCCGAGTCATTTTATAAAATTTAAAAACTCCTCAGTGCAATTTCCTTAGGGGGGCCCCGTCCACACTGATAATAAATAAAAAAAAATCATACAATATTTCCATTCTCAACAAAAAATTAATTAAAAAATCCAAAGAAACAAAAGTAATACAAGTCTATTTCACTACTGAACTATGAATGTGAGACAGGAACACACAACACGCTGAAAATCCTTCTATTTAATGATTTATTTTTATTTTACATTGGAGGACCGTCAGTGAGTTAGTGTGTGGAGTGTGATGTCTCTAATACTCTCAAGGTCTCACCCTTCAGGAGCTTCTCACGTGACCAGGCAGGTGTACACTCACATGGTTATCTTATTTCACCTCACTGAAGTAAATCTTTAACTGGTATATGACTTGGATCACCTGAACATTAGCCCCAGCATATTTCACGGAAAGATTAACTACCCTAATGCTAACATATCCTAACATGACTTACCCTAAGCTAACCTACCTTAACCTAACTGACCTTTACCCAAGTTACTTTACCCTAACTTAACCTAACCTAGTATTTTAATCCACCTAAACATACCCTACCCTAAAACTACTCTAACCACACCAAACTTAACCCTGTAGATGACATTAGGGTGTTTAATCATCAGGTGGTATAAGCTAAGGTGGGGGTGGGGGGGAGTAGGCTAATATTGAGGTAACCCATTCAAACTCCTCCTTTAAGTTATTACCACATAAATGACCTTTTCACCACCATATTCCTCACACCTTAAAGAGCACAATAGTGATGGATATAATAACACTTTCAGCACAGCACATGACAGTCTAATGTAGTGATGGGTTGTCAGACCACAGCTTACATCTCAGAAACAGTCCAGACTTGACCCGACATTAGGGGGGTCAAATGTAAGGGTACCCCTCGCAACCACTCAAGGAGTTACAAATCAACCGGCTCCCCTCCCATGTCACACGGCCCCAACAAACATGTAAGAAGGCACCGGCCGACTCTCTCCCAATATACACAATAACCTACACCGCAGAAGAAGTCCAGACCTGACCTCACATTAGCCAGGTCAAATGTAACCCTCGAGCCCAAGTCAAGGGGCCACAAATCAACCAGGGCCTCTCATGTCACGGCCCCATCTGAAGATTTCTCCAGAATATACAACTTATAGTCTCTGAAGAAGTCCAGACCTGACCCTACATTAGCGAGGGCAAATGTAAGGAGACCCTTCGCCGCCCCCTGATCAGCTCAACCTGACGGCTCGCCTCCCAATATATAGGACGTCCTAGTCCTCCCTCTGCCCAGAGAGAGAGTATGTCTTGTAACCAAGAAGGGCCAGCTACCACGTCCCCAGTCCTGCTCGAGAGAAGTCAGGGGCCGGAGGCAAGCCGCCTCCGGTCGCCTCCAGTCGGGAGCGAGTTGCCCTCGACACACCGGCGCCCAGCTAAGCAGTCTCCCATAGAGACAACCCAGGACCACCTGCTAGGCCTCCCCTAGGTCACGTGAGTTTTTGTCAGAGCTTTCCATGGGATGAGTTACAAACGTGGGAAGTGTATTCATTTCACATTCGTGTCCGAGAATCAGTGTCTAGTAACGTAATATGATATCCTAGTAACGTAAATATAGTGTCCTAGTAACTTCAGTAGAAGGTGTTATTAATGTGTCCATGTCATGTTCGTAATGAATAAAGAGTTGTAACGAAGCGGTGTTTGAGAAGTCGCCCTTAAGACGTAATAGATGTGTATTGACGTATAAGATACGATAAGTGTAAATAACTATCACGGCCACGCTACCAAAATCTTCCTCTCTTTTATACTCTTATACTATCAATATTCTACCTACATGTAATCATCTTCTTGTGAGATTTGTCTCATTATACTAATATGAAACGTGAAATTGCAAATGCAGTTAAATCAGTTGCCAATGACAAAAGTATCAACACCTTCTAAATTCTCAAAAGGTTCATCTGGTTAATATTTTCGCTTTAGAGCACTTTAACTAGTTGACCTGAGCTAAAACACAAACTAACTTAGATAAATAACAAAACTGCACTGAAATGACCTAAACTAGTTGAGTTCACTTGGTGCCATCGGGGGTTATACCTAGACAAATTAATATTCTACTAGTTGGGACTAGGAGACAAACTTAACATACAGTCTTTCAGATCTTACTGTATTATTATTATTACTGTCAAAAGGCTTCGTCTAAGATAATTTCAGTGCAGAAAAGTTTTTAATATTAATTTACTTTGATTCTCATAATGTACAGTACACTTACAATAACCCTTGCATGGCATGGCATGGTATTATTATCAAAGTATTATTATTTTCTTATCATCCTCATGGTGGACACGTGTGTACCGACATCATTAGTAAGGCAGCAGCTCCCACCACCTGTTCTTTCACAAGTACTATTAATGGAATCTCTATTGTCATCATTACTTAACTTACTATAGGTGTTCCACGAGGCTTAGGTTATTGTGTAAGTAAATATACCCTCAGGTGCGTGGTGGACAATTCCCATTTGAAATTAGCCCCCCTCCCCCCAAAAAAATCTTCTGATAGACAAGCATCTCACCAGATTAACAGAAAATTTTGATGGTCCCTCAGTGTGCCATAACAAAGTTCAAGACGCCATACGACAATAATAATAATAATAATAATAATAATAATAATAATAATAAAACCCACCAGAGATCTTATTGTGAGAGGATAGTTATCAAGTGTTCATTTGGCAAGGCGAGGAACAATGCACGATAAAGAAAATTAATAGAAATTAACAATACTTTTACCCCCCCCCTCCCCCCAAGTCCATTCTCCTTTTAAAGTCTTTCGATAAACAACTATTTACTACAAGTAATAATATTAGACCAATCCAACTCTACCGAATTTCCCTAACTAAAAAAGTACATTACTATATATTTCTAAAAAAAAAATGTGGCCTAATTTAGCGATGCACCAGGAACCACAAAAAGGAGTCTGAACCAGAAGAGGAGCTTAACGGAGCCTGGAACCTGATATATAACACTAATTTCAATATTGTCCGAGGTTGTATCCAGGGAAATGATATTTTGACAGGTAAGGATGGTGAGGGAGGAGGAAAAGATAAGTAAAGATGGTGTGAAGAGAGGACAGGTGAGAGATGAGAATGACGAGAGTGGAGGAAATGGAATTAAGGATGATGAGAGGAGAAAAGAGATGATGACGTCAGCCCCCCACCTATATAAAGCCAATCTCGTGACCCTGGGAGCAACTCGACACCCAGCCACAACCATGCGAGGGTTATTGTGAGTATACTGTACACTATCGGAATCGAATCAATATTAAAATCTTTCCTGCATTGAAATTCTCTTAGACGATTTTTTTTTTAAATTTTAATCTAATTTGGTATCTTTCATCTCTGGTTCCTGGTCAAAATGATGAAATAGGTAGGAGTCAATTATTGTATTTATAATGGAATAGATTTATAAAGTGTGTTTTATTGTTGGTTTATGGTGTAAATAATAGCAGAGATGAAACATTGATTGAAAGGGGAAATTCCATTTTCGTTTGTGTAAGGTCAGTACTCATTTTCTATTATAACATTTACGTCTTCTATGATTACTTTTTGCGGGGATACTAAAATAAATCGTCGGTTATTCTTTCCCACGTATAAGGCTTCACCAACGCTCCAGACTCAAGATATGATGACACAAAAATGGCGTGGAAAAAACAAACGCTTTTTATATTACAATTATTATGAGCATTTATAGAGAACGACTGACATGACGAATAACTGATTTTTGAAAGTCTGTCTTGAGTTATTTGGAAACACTTTAGTAAATAGACAATCAGAATATTACTAAACTTACATACTCATTACCTGTGAAATAATCAACACTGATGCTCCTTCCCTCACACACACGGTAAAGAGTATGCGAGTTCATTGAAAACCAGACTGGACCAACAACACTGGGGCAGAACCACCCAATGTGTGTCAACAGTGTGTAACAGAGATATGACCGACCGCGAAGAGGATAAAGGTAAAAGTATGCTACACCCTCACACTCACTAGCACCCTCACCCTCCCTCTTTCACACTTCCTTCCCCATATATCTCCTTATATTTCCTTCATCCCTTTCGCTCTCACCTTCCTACCCCTTCCACCACACCCACCCCCTCCCCAACACACACAAACACAAACACACACACACAAACACATACTCAAACACCCACACATACATACACACTCAGGCACACAGAATCTTTCCTATTTGTAAACAGCGCGCCATAAGCCCCGGTAAAGAACTTCAGAAACATCTCTCAGTTCACGTCCTACATTATATAAACAAACAGACAAATATAACATTAAGTAAATATCGCCATACAAGTTCAGCACGTATGTAAACAGTGTAGGTATGTAAACAATAACAGGTTAAGCACGTAGGTAAACAGTGTAGGTATGTAAACAATAACAGGTTAAGCACGTATGTAAACAGTGTAGGTATGTAAACAATAACAGGTTAAGCAAAGCGAGTGACTCAAGTTAATAATTCAGCCTGATGTTAGTGCTACAGGCTCTTGGTTGTATTTCAGGTTGGTGTTGGTGGTAGTGGTGGGCGTGGTGAGGGCGGTCTACGACACGCCCTCCTGTGCTGACGGCCGACAGACCATAGTTCACTTGTTTGAATGGAAGTGGACCGACATAGCCCAGGAGTGTGAGAGATTCCTCGCTGATGCTGGCTTCTGTGCCGTCCAGGTGTGTGTGCGTGCGTGTACCTATCTACTTGTCTGAGCTTCACATTTAACAACAAAAAGTGGTGTTAGCAGTACAGGTGTGACCACTACTAACGGTGTCACTCGTACAGGTGTCGCCGCCGATGGAACACGCGGTGGTGGAGGAGAACGGGTACCCCTGGTGGCAGAGGTACCAACCAGTCTCCTACAAGCTGGAGTCTCGCTCGGGCAACAGGCAACAGTTTATTGACATGGTGCAGAGATGTAACGCCGTCGGTGTCAGGTGAGTGAGACAGAGCCTGGAGTTAGGTATCATCTCACACACACAGACGGAACTAAAAGATACACCTTCGTCAAGATGCAAGTATAAAGTCGAGTGTGTGTGTGTGTGTGTGTGGTGGAGACCCTAACTACACCCCTTCACCGCCTCCCACAGGATCATCGTGGACGCCGTAGTGAACCACATGACAGGTCTGGGCAGGTCAGGGCAGGGGTCAGGAGGCTCCAGCTTCAACGCCGACAACAGAGACTTCCCCGGCGTGCCTTACTCCAGTCTAGACTTCACCCCCCGGAGCATGTGTCCCTCTGCTGACGGTGAGGAGGAGGAGAGATGATAGGAAGAGGAGGAAGGATGGTAGGAAGAGGAGGAAGAAAGAGGAAAAGGTTTAGGGAGAGGAGGAAGGATGATAGGAAGGGGAAGAGGAAAAAGAAAAAGGTTGTAGTACGAGGAAAGAATGAAAACAAAAGACAAAACCTATCCTAACCAACCCCTTCACATCAGTACTATTATCCGCCCCGCAGGTAACATAAACAACTACAACGACGTGAACGAGGTGAGGAACTGCTACCTGGTGGGGCTGACGGACCTGTACGGCGCCAAGGACTACGTCAGGCAGATGATCTCGGGTTACTACAACGACCTCGTCGAGATTGGCGTCATGGGCTTCAGGGTGGACGCCGCCAAGCACATGTGGCCGAAGGTAGGTAGGTGTGTGTGTGTGTGTGTGTGTGTGTGTGTGTGTGTGTGTGTGTGTTGACATATTGAAGAAAAAGTCGAACGGGAAGTAACACGGGTCAATAAAAACACACATCGAAAAATCACAAAACCAATATCCTCCATCCTTCACCCCACATACACTGTAACCTGCCACGACCTCTGAACCAAACACCAGATGACCTCCCCGTAGGACCTGGAGGCCATACAGGGGTTGACTCACGACCTGAACACCAACGCAGGTTTCCCCAGCGGCCAGAGACCCTTCTTCTTCCACGAGGTGATCGACCAGGGAGGAGAGCCCATCACAGTCGACCAGTACTTCAGTGTGGGTGAGTAGGACCTGTTGAAGTGTTTTCTTCATCATCTTCCTTAGTTAAGAGTGAGACACCGAGGTATGGAGGATTAGGAGATGGGAAGAGGAGGAGTAGGAAGAGGAGGAGAGGTAGGAGGAGTAGGAAGAGGAGGAGTAGGAAGAGGAGGAGAGGTAGGAGGATGGGGTGGGGAGAGAGGTGGGAGGAGTAGTGAGGAGGTGGGAGAGAGGGAAGAGGAGAGTGGGAGGGAGGGAGGAGAGGTGGGAGGATTGGAGGAGGAGGTTGGGAGGGTAGATGGGGAGGTAGGTGGGAAGAGGAGGAGAGGTAGGAGGAGGAGGTAGAGGAGGAGAGGTAGGAGGAGTAGGAAGAGGAGAGGTAGGAGGAGTAGGGAGAGGAGGAGAGGTAGGAAGAGGAGGAGAGGTAGGAGGAAGAGATAAGGAAGAGGGGTGGAAGGATAGTTGGAACAGGAAAAGGAAGAGGAGGAATTGCTGGAGATGGAGGGGTAAGGAGGAGGAGGTGGAGAAATATAGGAGGAGGAGGACATAGAAAAAGATTTCATCAACACCCATACACCTCTAACTCACACACACACATCACATCATCCTCCATAACCCCACCAGGCCGCACTACGGAGTTCAGGTTCGGCAAGAAGATAGCCTGGGGCATCAACGACTTCAGTCAGCTGGCCAACATCTACGACCCGGGGTGGGGGATGGCGCCCTCTGATAAGGCTCTCGTCTTTGTTGACAACCACGACAACCAGCGAGGTCATGGCGGGGCTGGCGACATCATCACTTTTAAACAGGTCAGGGAGACTCAAACGCGTCAGGGAAAATATAATACCACAGTTTTTCAACAACCACTAATTTCATCATCATAATTCATCACAGGACCAACGTTAATATAAGCTTTATACATTAATACTCAGCCTTATATATCACGTATAATAGCTACTATAAAATTTCTTCTGATTTAAGTTATTATATTATTGCGTGATTTCCATATTAAGATTATGACGTCATGATTTACATCCGTAAAAGCGCTTGGATGTTTCTTTATTTTTATGCGAATTTGTCTTAAAAAATCAATTAACGTTTATTTCCAATCTTGTCTAGGAATTTGTAGAGGTTAATAATCAGACGTAAACAACGATATTATTTTTTTTTAGAGAATCAGTTACGTAATCTTTGATCAAACTTTTCGTAAACACAACTTCATCAGCTGACACTAAAAGCAAATCGATGTTATAAATATCACAAATCATGACTACTAAAATATTTATTAATTTTAAAAAGGCAGACGTAAACCTAACGAGTCTTGAGGTAGTTGTGGCTGTGTTAACTAGGCTTGAGTCGTTACGGTGTTTGGCAAGCAGTGTATTCTTGGTTAAATCATAAATTAGTTATCAAACAATTAAACATATATCTCTCTGGTTTCCCACGAAATTAAGCTTTAAGCAGCTTTATAGTACTACTAGTTGAAGCAGTTTACTGTTTACCATAGTTTGCATAATCATAATATCTACGCAATTAATGAACCAATATGAACTAGCATGACGAATTCACTGCAGGTCACCCGCATGAATATTTTTACTGAATAAAACCCTATCTTACCAAACTCCCTATCCTCCCCTCCCCTACAGCCTAAAGAATACAAGATGGGTGTGTCGTTCTCCCTGGCTCACGACTACGGGTTCATGAGGATAATGAGCAGCTACTACTTCGACGACTCAGATCAAGGTCCTCCAGGTAGCAACAATGGCGGTTCTACTGACGACGTTCCTATTAATGCTGATGGTTCCTGTGGTGGCGGCTGGGTCTGTGAACACCGCTGGAACCCTATCACCCAGATGGTCAGTGAAGTCTTGACCTTGTTTAAAATGTATTTCTAACCCTAACTAATGGCCTTAAACACGTACGCGAGGTAAGTCCTTGATAGAGAACATTAACAACCTATCGCCTCCTCCGTATTTAATTATTTAATACATATAAGTTATCAAAACATACACTTCCTTACCTTCTCTATCACTCAGTTCAATTTGGTCAGCTAATAACGACAACCCGTGATACGACCCAAAAATGAGGTACTGTACATAGCACCAAGTTCACCAACAACTATCTACGCTGCACTTCGAACTGACGCACTAACAGTGGTAGTGCTGTCAGCTGATTGGTCAGTGACTCATGAGTTGACAGTGTAAAGCAGTGGTTCTCAACCTTGTTTGCCCCATGCACCCCTTTCACCATATGTCAGAATGTCATTCCCCCCCTCCTTTCCAGGATTGTCTGCCTCAAAAAGTGCATTCCAAATAATATGCATATAATACTGAAAATCCTTTATTTTTTTTTCCATATTAGTATCAGTTTCGAAAAACCTGAGGGGGAAATTTCGGTTGAGAACCCCTGCGTAAAGCATCACTGTTAGTAAGAGTTTTATTTGCAAACACATAAACAATATATATATATATATATATATATATATATATATATATATATATATATATATATATATATATATATATATATATATATATATATAGATATATATATATATATATAACAACGCATATTTTTTAAGTACTGTATTGATAAATGTAATGTATTTATTGACATTTGTGATGGATACGAACAAATTACCTGATCTTCAACTCATTAACCTTCCCAGATAGCATTAGGGTATTTAATTATGAGGTGAAATAACCTGTGGGGGACTAATCTTCATATGATCCCCCCCCCCCTCCAAGTTGTTGTATTCTTATGAAGTAAAGCAACCACGCCGCATTTCTGTTTCAGGTGAAGTTCAGGAATGCCGTAGCTGGTACACAGATGGCCAATTGGTACCAGGAGGGAGATAACGTAGCCTTCTCCCGGGGCGACAAGGGCTTCTTCGCCATGTCTAAGTACGGATCATTTGACAAGACCCTTCAGACTGGTAAGTGCTCGAGGCTGATTGTTTTCTTGGTTATTATCTCATTTTCTTCCTCAGTGTCTCAATCTTCCTCATAATTTCATTGGTTCTTTTGAGATCACATGAAGATTAGCATTCCCTGCTTATTTCACCTGATTAAACATCCTAATGCTAACCTAACCCCCCAGATAGCATAATGCAGGGGTGTTAATCTTGATGTGATCCAAGTCTCTTAATACTTTTCCTCATAGTCTTCCACATCCAAACTTGTCCTTTCCTCCCACAGGTCTGCCAGCGGGACAGTACTGCGAGTTGATCAGCCACTGTGCCAACAAGGTGACTGTAAACGGTGATGGAACAGCCCGGATCATCATAAACAACTCAGAGGAGCCGATCTTTGCCATCTGTGCTGGATGTGATGGTGTTGAACCTACAGTCAGCCCAGGTAATTGAAACTGAGGTCTTTGTCACTTCAATACAGTACAGATGTATCACAATTTACGATAAGATTGTGTTTCTGAAAAATTGTATCATAAACAGCCCCTTGACCTTGTCTCTACTCACAGACCACACCACAACACCCCACCCCACCTTACCACCCATCGATGGTATGGCCAGGACCGTTGTCTTCGTGCACAAGCAAACCTCCGTGGGTCAGGACCTGTTCATACGGGGAGGCATCGACTCGGCCCACCGCCAAGGTCAGTGTCAGGTCACAAGTGCACTTTGGTTCACATAGGACAAGTAACGGTAGTACCTCAGGTCACCAAGCTGTGGAGAATAAGTCAGTTTGGTTGAATGTATGAGCATAACATTTTATTTTACATGAAATTACCAGAAGGATTCATCAAAATAGAATAGATCAGAATAGGTCAGTCATGGCTATAAAAATTTATGTTAAAAAAAGGTTGGTTTTATTTTGTACTGCCACTGTAACTGAAAAATGTGAAATAAGCTGAGTAAGGAAATTTGAGTTGTCAGGAGGGCCTTTTGGGACTTGCTCATTACTACAGAGATAGAGTAAGATAAATATATATACTGACAGATTAGAGACAATTATATTCATAATGTTAGAAAGATGTAACAGGGAGTTTCACAGAAGGACAGACTAAGGAAACATATACTGTACTATACAAGCACATGGACCCAAAAATTAACCTCCAACTGCTCTTTCAGGCTGCAACGATAATGCTGAAACAGATGTTTGTGCCATCGACATCACTGTTAGCAGTCTGGGTACTGCAGATCATTATGCCAAGTACAATGCATGGAGGCAAGGAGACACCAAGCTCGACTGGTATGGTGCCCAGGCCAGCCAAGGCAGCTACCAGGGCCAGTCAGCATCTGGTTCACCTCTCGCTTGGACCACCAACAAACCAGGGGCAGCTGGGTACCAGGAGCTGAACACGTAAGTCATGAGCTTTTTATCCGCGAGAATGTTGTGGTAGCGCCAAATGTTAGATTATTTAAGACCAGACTTGACCAACACTGGCACCTGTTTAAAGTACATTCAAGATTCCATACATACCCAGTATTGGCCAATAATTCTTAATCAAGAAAAGACCTGACCAGCGAGCTTACTGAGTTGACAAGTGGCAGAGAGGATAAAGGGAAGAAACATTAGGCCCACATACCTCTGTTCTGGTCTCTGCTTGAATCACCAGGGTCTCTTGTCACTGAACTGTTAGGTCCTCATTTATCACATCAGCAGCTCTTCTCTCCCTGAATCACAAAGTATTTACCTACACTTGTATATCTTACAAATGGGTGTTAATCAAAGTCTTTACAAAGAGGAAAGACTTTCCTGAAAAAACACACATTGATATCTTATGTCACTGTATAGTTTACATGCAATTTACATATCTATGACTTGGTCAAGTGAGAAAATTATAAATGACTGTACATTGTCCATAAATTATTACATTCCACCGAGATATGGTAAGGACTGTCAGTTGATTGAAAATGCCCAAAGGAGGGCCACCAGACTGGTGCCACCACTTGGGCACCTCAGAGAGATTAGAGTACCTGCAATTGCCTAGCTTATACTACAGTCGGGTAAGGGGGAACCTAATCAAGGTGTATAAATATCTCAAGGGGCACTACTCAGTCAAGTGTCCTTACCTGGAACTGGCTGACACTCACCCCACAAGGGGTCACAGCTCAGGGTTGAAGAAACTGCAAGTTCAGAAAACTGTGAGGGCTAACTTTTTTGGAGTGAGAGTTGTGAACTTGTGGAACAACCCACCAGAGTTTTGTGTCAGCACCGAGTGTGGGCTGTTCCAAGACCAGACTTGACCAGCACTGGAGCAGGTTCAGATACATTCAGGAGTCAGTGTATGCCCAGTACTTGCCAGAGACGTGACCGATCGCCCAAGCGGCTAACGAGCCGATCAGTGGTGAAGAGGATAAAAGTAAAAAGAATTAGGTTCTATGTACACTAAGAAGTTGTTAACCACCCAAGCCTAATGCTCAATCAGTTTTCACTTAAGACCTGGGTATCCATTGCCTGTGTATAAAATAACCTTTGATGGCAATAAAAATAAACGAACTTGAATTAACTTATTCTGATCTAATAATGTTAGGTTTAGTTTGTATTCTGTGATGCACGCTGCAGCTCCCCACGTGTGACTGACCAAATCAGCCTTGCATGTATGAAAGTCATTAATGTGTACAGTATGCACACTATGAGACCTGACCTAAACAAAAATGAATTGAAAGCTGGTCCGGCAGTCTCTTGAAAATAGTATGTCACAGCTTCACTTTCATTGGCAGGTTTGGAGAGCACTACTGGATGGTCGACATGATGATGAACTGTGACGAGACTGAGGGTGGCTGGTTTGATTTGAAGGCCTTCGTCAGCAATGCTGGCACAGGCTGGGAATCTGACATCAACCAAGTAAGTAAATAGCTGCACCATCAGGCTTCTTAAAGACTGTTCTTGCACTTTTTCTAGTGCATTAGTCTGTTTTGCTCTTGATTACAACTGTGTTGCACAATAGTGGGAAAGTCCTTGTAAAAACTATAAAAGACTGATCTCAGTATTGTATACATAGAAAGAGTTACCAGCAAATGTCCCCAGTGATGAAAAGAAGTCACAAGTCTCCAAAATTATTTTTACTATTTTATCATGACTTATCAGCTGTCCATTTTATTGGTCCGACTTTTCCTGACCTCACTCGATAGCCTCTTAACAAAACCCAATTTATTTACAGCTTCTCTATACCACCTTCACCCTTTCAGACCTCTGTATAACTTAGCATGACCAGACTTGGACTCCAGGCCTATTATAAGCTCTATAACACTATAACTTTACTTGTCTCATAACTTCACTATAACCTTTTGACCTTTGTTGTTGTCTTATAGGTGTCATCATGCACTGGTGACGCTGGGGGTGCCAAGCCCTACACATCCAAGAACCACTTGGGTCGCTGTGGCTACCTCAACGTGTTTGATTTCTCTGGATCTTCCTGCCAAATCAACTCTCTTTCTTGATTTATATGTGAGATGGCAACTCTTAATATCTTCTTGACCTCTATCATTATGCTTGCTCATTCTCGTCTCTGAGTACCTCCAGCAATCCATCTGAAGCCTGCCATTCTTCATGACTGAGGTGCAGTACATGTACTACCATATATTAACTGCTAATAAAGTGCCTCTCACTCAGCAACCATTAGTTTGTTTACCTGTACCGTACACTCTTCCATGAGTCCAGGTAATGAATTGGTTGGTCATTACCTCTTGCTCTTTCACTCATGCCGAATCCCAGAGTCAAAAGTAACAATTCTGGGACTAAATCTGGCTGGTGATCCTTGTAATAATTTCATATCCTAATTTCTCATTTCTTGTACTGTTAATATACAATTTTCTGTACTTGAAATTGATACAAATAAGTTTAGGAATTTTACAAACATATTAATTTATACTCTTGGACCAGAAAACTACTCTACATATTTCCTCAAATTTTCACCAGATATCATTCCCTTATTGTGATTAAAATCCCAATACGTGTACAGTATAATAAGCTGATGAAGGATCTTGGGTCAAAAACTTTCTAGTATAGTAATAAGTCACTTTGAATGGTTCTGTTTTTGAAACATTAACTAATTTCTTCTTTATACTTGGTAATTACTGAGGGACCTCTTGTACAACCATCCCTCACCAGTCATCTACACACACTACTGTACCACAAGTTAATGTTTGAGGCAAGATTCTTTCCTCGAGTCCTCTTCTTCCAACATGAGGAATGTGGGATAATCACTACACCTTCCAACATTAAATATTTTAATGGAAAAGTGACTTATAGAGAATAACAAGAGCAGGTTGTGTGTGTTAGTTAAGAGTTGGCAGAGTAGGCAAAAGTGTAATTATTGTTATTATTAAAAATTCTGATGTTTAGCTGTAAATCCCAAAAGAAATTCAATAAAAAAAAGTGTACTGCAAAGCTTCGTAGTTCTAACGTGTTCCAGTCGTGTATGTAATCAACAAAGCAGTCGTAATAATTTTTTTTTTGTATAAATCTTGTAAAAATCTTGAGTTGCATTATATCAATTTGTCAGCAAACAAACACATCCATCTTAGTTTCACACACATATATATATATATATATAGTACAATATATCTCATGATAGTTATATTTGCATCCTGGTAATCACAATTGGTAGAGTTTAATAATAAAAATGGGGTTTGCAACAACTTTCGTAGGATTGATCCCACAAAAACATACGTCACGTTTGAAGTGCAATATCTTTCTCTTTCTCTCTCTCTCTCTCTTATACACAAGCTCCAAAAAGTTATCTTTATGATTACGTGCGAGATAATATGACGCAACGTATGAAGTATTTTAACAACCATACAGAGACAACGCAAGTCGTGGCGTTCACTTTGAAATTCGTCGGTGCCCCTCCATAAAGATACCCTTTGGAGCGAGTGTACACCTAATGCTAAGACTACACAGATCACTCGACTTAAATGTTTCATCAGGAAGAATAGCACACTTGTTGTATATAAACATTAACAGTCACATAAAGCAAGTCAATATACATGGAGAAATTATGCATTATTAATAGGCAGAGGCAGTATATACAAAATAAGTCTCCTAGGATATAGCAGACCAGAACAACTAATAACTCCACAATTACTCTTACTTCCATATAGGTTAGTGGACTAGATATATATATATTACACATTTACAGAAAAAAATGACAATAGGAATATTATCTACTGTATTCCACCTTTTTTATAGATTATAAACTTTGATAATTATACTCAAATTATTTTCTGAGGAATATATACTATAAGAACTACACTCCAATAATCATCTTTAACTCATTTTCCATCCATTTCTAAATGTATTGTTTTTTTGTCATAAAATCTTGGGCAGGAGATGTGACAGCTCTCACTACATACAGAGATTCACATGAACAAGCACACTTGTCCCTTCATTCACAGAACAAATTTACATAACAGCCAAAAACATGTGAATTTTGTACGTAAAGAAACTATGCATTGATATCACTACAGGTAAGGCCCCATCACAAGTTTTTAATTGGAAAACTCTGTAAAACAATGACTGATTCATTCTGAGTGCATAACATACATTTCACATAGGCTGGCTTAAGATGCCAAAATTAAATATAAAATTCAGTTCTACGTAATAATAGTTAAAATTCATAGTGACCTAAAAATATGTATACTGTACATATATATATATATATATATATATATATATATATATATATATATATATATATATATATATATATATATATATATATATATATATATATATATATATTACTGATACACAAACAAGGGGACAAACATACCCACACAAGGCCTGAAGGCAGTCATGCAAACACAAACATGAAGAAGTATACACACACATGTATGAATTAGTCCACACATGTATACAGTACAGTACATGCATTAATGATCCTTACATGAACCAACAGACAGACAAGACACAACAATTCTTACTAATAATTTCTTTGTTTGGAATATCTCATAATCTTTCATGGCACAGATCCACTAGTTAGTACAATATAAATAAAGTATGGCACACACTTTCATCTTTGTAGCCAAACTTATCCACACATTGTTCAGAAACCTATGACACTGTAGGTGATGGTTAATTAAAGTTTACCTTGACCACTTTTATTGCTCTGGTCAAGGCAAGAGATAAATTATAATTTGGCTATAAACCTACCATAGAGAACATGGTAATGCAAGTCTTGGTATTTCCAAATTTCAACTTCACTGATAACTCGATACTCCTAATATACTGTAACTCTTAAGACGTTAATAATCATCATAAATACAGTAAACTTAATATTCATATTCAACATAAAATTGCTCAAAATTATTTGTTACGACAAATAAAATGACAGTATGTAAATACCTTTGCAATGGGAAATATTAAACCATGTGAGAGAAGTTTTATCAACAGAGCACAAGTAATGTTCATCATTACTGTAGTCTGTTTATACACACACAGCCACCGACCCTAAAGGTACAGCAAGTTTTATTGTAAATTACTAACGTCGGGCCACAACATATTTCAGCGACGGACAACAACACCATCAAAATAAACTCTCAGATGCTTTTGTGTTCAAGTTATGGCAGCAGGTTAGATGGTCCCGTCCTAATAAGGTAACCATTAGGTCTTGGGCACACTGGCTCAGTCATGTTGTGTACTGTGACCACACTAATGGGTACAATACCCTGTTTATGACTTTGTTGCTCATGAAGCACTTGAGAGATGAACCTAAACTGTCTCCAGCTAACCAATATCTACAATGACAATCAGTAGTTATCACAGATAACTTAAAATATATATATAATTAAATATAATACTTAAACAACAATCATATGGTTCTGCTTGTTCCTGCACTTACTGAGAAAGAGTTGTTTGTGTTCCTTCACTTCAATCAACACAACTGTGTACTATATCTTGGTATTAATCAATATATTCTCCTTCATTTATCAAGAATGTTTCGTGTCACTTCAAAAAGATATGTCTCAAGGAAAACAAATATAACATCTTAAAAACAATCAAAAGATCACATTTTCCTGTACACACTGAGGAAGACTCAGTTGTGTCACATCAATAATGATCTTGTATAGAATCACTTTAAACATAACTCACTTGGGTGTGCTACAAGTAGTGTTCGCTACACTCACAGGAATGATGCTCGTCTGCTGTTTTTATGTGGGTTGATGCTGAACTTTACATGATGCTTCCCGTCAACAGTGTCGTTGTTGACATGAACTTGTGCATTTATACACTTAAAGCAAAAAGCTCCTCCACCAGTCCAGCCTCAGTGTTGTGTGTGTGCCTCAAGTATAACTGTACTGTATCATGTTCAGCAATAGTACAAGTGTTGCACCGTAAAGCTCAATTAACAGATTGGCATTTATAAAGAAAAGCTGACGGGACCATAAGCACCCCAGTCACATGCTTGTATGTGCTATTGTCTTTAATACTCAGTGCCTTAGTGTCCTTTATGATAACAGGTCAAGCACTAGTCATCTAACTCTGCAGAACTGATTGAGTCTAAATAGTAATCCAGTAGTTACTAATCACTAACTTGACACAGCAATATTTCCGGTTCATTATCAGCCATTGACCAAAACGTTTCTGTCATACAATCACTCTTCCAGCAATGAACGTATCCTCTTTTTCAAATATTATATAATTAATGAGTTCCATAAAAATTTAATAAAATACTGTACCTAAAATGTTCAAGTTTCTCCTCATGAGCTGAAAAGCCAATACCTGTACAGTATTATACACTCATATATACTAAATTAAAATAATTTTAAAAAATCAGACCAGAATAAATTATATCACCCCAAGTTTTAACTCAACCAATACAGTACTGTACTGTGAACTGAAAAAACAAAAAAATACAAATCACAATGAAGGATTTTACGAACATACAAGATGAAACAGTAAATCACCGTATTGAGTAGAGCACTGCAGTCATTCTTCACTGCTGAACTGTCTTTATTTACAACCTGTGGTGGCTGACTGACCCAGAAACTGCTGCAAAGTGCCCACGGTCTTGGCACTTCCAGTCTACTACAGTACACCTGAGTTACTGTACTGTACTCCACCCCATCTTCGGAGAACTCCACGCGCCTTTTAAGAATATCCTTACAAAATCCTACTTACAGGGAATATCACTACAATGAGACACTCTACACTACACATTCTGCTATAGTGATGAGTATATAGTGTCTACAGCGGCGTAAATCTCCGGGAAGTGAGGTCTGTTTTCCGCGTCATACTGCCAGCACTTGAGCATCAGTTGGTACATTTCGTCGGGGGTGTTATGTGGTGCCAGCATCCGGTATCCTGGAGTTGTGCAGTTGGTTAGGAACAAGCCAGAGATGAAGGATAAGAAGGAAAAAGTACAACAAAGTCAAGATTGGTTGGATTAAATAGGGAAGGACAGTAATAGGAACACATCAGAAATATTAGATAGAACAGATAAGTAAAGAAAGAGACCAAAAAAGTAACTAAATCAGAGATACTCAGCTCAAGATGAGGAGCAAGTTAAGGAGCATTATAGGAATAAGTGAAAGAGATGGAGAAAGAATTGGTTAGGTAATAATGAAGGAACAAGTAATAAGTGTGAAGGTCAATGAGTGTGGCTATAGAGAAATAACAGAGTGAGATAACAGGGGCAGTGAGTTGGTACTCTTATGTGACAAATACTAATTACTAACTAGTGTACCATAGTCTTCCATCTACAACAGCTGTTTACAGAGAGCTCAACTATATTCTTCAAACTGCAACAATTACAGATTACCCTTCACTAAATTCCTCTAATTGCAACATTACTTGAGTCAACAACTATTTATTCTATATTATAATCTACTCTACTATTACCTGAATCAATCATCTCTCGGGCCTTGGTGTTGGAGTAGCCATGGTAGGGCACCTCCCCGGATGAGAAGATCTCCCAGCACAACACGGCGTAACTCCACACATCACACAGCGAAGTGTATTTACCTGTCCAGGAAAAAATAGTTTTGCATGACACAAGTCCTTGTGTAATATTCAACAAATGTTTGTGTTAACCTTGTTGACTGTCAAAGTGGGATGCTATTTAAGTTATAATTTCTATACAATATGGATGACTAAACAAATAGCAAAACCACATTACATATTTCAGTCCTTATTATCCATATACACAAAACTAGAATGACATTATATTCTAGGTGCTTCTCTAATGTTGTTGTTAGGTACTACTGTCTCAGCAACTAATATGTTTCTATAATAAAGTATTTTAATATCTAACTCACCAAAGTTAAGAGCCTCTGGAGCCGTCCATTTGATGGGTATTTGTTTCATGCCGTCACTGACAATGTACTCCTCCTCCTCTCTTGACATGCCAAAGTCAGATATTTTGACAATATTCCGATGGCCTGTGAGACAACATGGATACAGTAAATGTCTTGTGGGCAACTGGTATCACTGACAAATGGAACTATAACTGATCTGAATAGTCTTGGCAACAGAAAGCTTTCCAAGGAGGTTTGAGGAAAGTGATTCTAGAAGGAAATTCTGGTTGGTTAGATTTGTGTTGATAGACCTTCCTGACAACACCCAGACTCATAAGGTCATGAAGATGAAAAGGAGAACCTGTCTGTGCTTGTTTGTACTAATTGGAAGGACACTCATAGGTTGATACAATAACTGTTGATAAATATTATATCACAAGTGTTAATGAATACAACAGATAAATTAACCATCACCCACACTAGATAAATCATAGGCCATCTTTACTGGGCACCACACATGACTACCCTTCACAAGAACATCTCAACAGCAAAGATGGTAAATAATACTGAAAGCATGTTCCTACCATCATTGGTCTACTAACAGATATGCAGACCTTTTAAGACGGGGAGTTAAAATGCTTGAGAATGAAACCCACCAACAAGACAGTTCCGTGCTGCCAGGTCACGGTGGATGCAGTTCTTTGACTCCAGATAGGCCATCCCAGAGGCAGTGTCCAGGCACATCCCCATCATCTGCTTCCCGTTCAGCTGACCTTTATGGTTCCTCACAAAACTTAATAAAGATCCACCTGCAATGGTAAGTCAAGAAATAATTAAGATGATGCTCAGATACCAAGAATGAGGTTATTTTACAAGTCCATTTCTGATAAATACAAGAAGGAAATCGTCAAGAGTGTAATGACTGGGCCAAACACGAAATTATGTTATGGAGAGAATGGGGGAGAGGTGAATCAGCATATAACAATCTCTAAACTCACACGACTGCCAACCACGTTATATGACTTACCCGGCACCAACTCCATCACTATCATAATGGGCTGCTTCTGGACACAAATGCCTATAAACTTGACAATATTGGGATGGTCGTACTGCTTGAGGATACGACCCTCTTGTAGGAACTTTTTCTTCTGTTCGTCAGGCAGCGTTACTCTGCACGTCTTGACGGCAACCTCGCTTCCAGAGTCCCGTAGCCGAGCTTTGTACACGTCCCCAAAGTTACCCTATAGGAGAAGTACCCAATACAATGGAGTCACCTGTGCAGTAAGGCTCTTTTAGAATGAAAGAATGTTAAGTCGAGGCTTGTTGTAAATTACTACTTTATATGCAGGCACCATATCTCTCATCTTCTCTATAATAAACTAAATAACCTGGGAAATGCCTCATATTCCTCCATAGTCCTATGAAACCAAGTACTGTACAGTAATACAGCAGATGGCCAGAAAGTATGATGCAAGACAAGTATTGAAAGTAACAAGACAAGACACACACACACATATCAACTTACTCTGCCTATTTTGTCTCTCAGCTCAACATCATCGTTATTTAGTTCCCATCGTTCACGGAAGATGGGAGTCCGGAGTATAGCACCTGACTTGTTAGTGACTGGTAGGCCACAGTTGTGTTGGTGAAGGATTAGTTCCTGGATGGTTGGGAAGGCTGGACCCTCAAACCTGTAGTGACCCTTATGGACAAGAGGAAACAATTATTGTATATGTCTGTACTGTAGTTGGAATGCAAATTAAAATGTCAATTACGCTGTGCCCAAAAGTTTTAAATCAACTTTATATAAACTTTCTCAAGACTATAAACTAATTTTACCATTCAAGCACATTAGTTTTCACTTTCCAGGAGACAAGTGTTGTACCTCAGGTGTGGTCTGAACTATGAAGTGTTTATGAGTGCCCCAACAGACTGACAAGACAATCTGCTGTTCATCATTACGCGTGGTCTCTCTCACTAGGTAATTGCCCTCATTCACCAGTAATCGCACCACCTCCTCTCTTGGCAGTACACCGTGGAACCATGGCTCGTCCTCCAAGCACCGGTCTGGGTCGTAGGTCTGGAGGGTCACAAATTGAGTTTAATTAGAATGATGGCGCTGTATGCTGGAGTTATACTGTACTGTAACACATAAGTTGACTTCAATATTCGTATTCATGAAAAACATTTACCTCTGCCAAGTTCAATGGTTGTTACGCTCATCACCGAACAAGACAATACCGTACTGTACAGGTATATACTCTGTCTTAAACCTTGTCTTTTTTCTAAGCTCACTTGTTCACTAAAGAAGATATTACTTCCTTTCTAAATGCGGTACTTTCTATTACATGCCCACATTCCCCCAACACTCCATTAAGTAATAAATAACCTAGATGCTACATCACTGGTAACAAATACTAAACCCAACTGATTTCTTTTAACAACTTTTGGAATCTGATAATTTAGTGAAAGTAAGTTTCCTGTTGTGGTTTAATCCTGCACATGTTGGAGTAGATAATATCTACCTGCTCAAACAGTTTAAAAAATATCAACACTCAACCTCCTAAATTATTCATTCTTGTCCAACCTCACTCACTCACCAATTCAGGTATACCATTTACTGCTTGTGGGTGGACCTCTGCCTGGCCTTCTGCGGAATTATCCGTGGTGAGGGACTGTTGGTCGGGTGCCGAGGCCCTCTCCTCGGTGTTGGCTCTAGTCGGCGTGGGTGGTGTGGAGGCAGGTGAGGCACTGTTCCTGGCACGGAAGGGTTTGCGGAGTAGCTCCTTGAGAGCGGCCGAGCGAGATTTGAGTGAGTCTGAGCGCTGATACTGTGGTGAAGGAAGATGCTGCAGTCACTTATCAGATAATGTGATTATTTAGAATTGTGTATCGTTTACGGTATGTTTTTTGGCAAGCTCCAAGAGTGGTTTAGTCTTTGTTATTTGGAGTTATTCATAGTTTTGAGCTGCCTTACTAGATGTGTTCTGAGTTCTTCTTCTACAAGTCTCTGATTTACTGTGGTCACTACACACAACCCAGCATCACCAGTACCTCCATCCCCGCTGCATACTTACACTGACTATGTACAGTTGGGAACAAAAGTCCTGTCACCTCTCCTGCTGCTCCACGAACCCCGAGATTCAGACTCGTGAACCCAAAGTGGTAGACACCTAGACATTATTCCGTCCTTAAATGCTTCAGATTTATGAGTCTGAATCTAAGGGTGAGTGGAGCAGCAGGAGAGGTGACAGGACTTTTGTGGGTGACTGTATGTACTGAGTCAATGAAAACTCGTACTGTACTGTATGTTGATTTTATTGAATAAATATTTATCTATCTATCTGTCAATATAGTTGTGTAAAAATTAACATTATAACTCAGTATGGGATGTTTATGCATAGTATTCCTAAACAGAAGACAAAAAAAAATTATGTAAAGCACACCTCACCAGCAAAATACAAAATGTTAATGTACAGGAATTTACCATAAAAAAAAATAATCATGCTTGCTTATGAGACACTACCATGCAACTCACCCACAAACATGTTACAGGATACGGTATTAATAAAAAAGCACCAGTCCTAATCTGCCCCAACTTAATTCAACCTTAACCATTAGGACCTGGGACCCCCTTAGGATGAACCCCAATCTTAATGCTTAAAATAAGGGGAGGTTGTGACCCACCCGACCAGTCACCAAATACGAAGCTGTTAATGGAGGTCTTTGGTATATAACTGCTAATAAACAGAGTGATATGCCATTTACTGGAGTTATCAGCCTTCACACAGACACTCGATGTACCCACAGAAACATCACAACAAGCAAAGCATAAAGGAGTGTTTCCAATTATTAATATCTGTTGGATGATTCATTTTTATAACTCTTATTAAAAGTTAGTATAAATTCACGGAGTTTTTGTGTGTTTTAGATGTGAGAGTAAAATTAAATTTAACTAGCGGGACAAAATACTCAAGGAAATTAATGACAAAATTTGCTATATAATGATACGTGAATCTTAAACACTGTTTTTGTTATCTCAAATTTGTTTTACAATGAGGGAGTCATCAGTCAGGAAATAGGATGCAAGACTGGTCATTGTGTTCCAAGTAGCTATAAAACTGCTCACTCTTAACATACTGTACTGTGTTACATGAATCTTAAGGATACATCATACAGTACCCACTGTAGTTTCAATGTTGTACTATGTCTGGGATCCTCTCTGTGCTGAAAAAGTATTAAAAGTGGTGTCCCTGTAGTGAAAGTTAAAGCATCCAGTAACTTAAACACCAGAGAACCATAACACCCATTGGTCCTTTTCTAATGAACTTATAAAAATCCTTGTGTGCTCTGGTCCACAAGGGAGCATTATCACTGTCTCTAAATTCTTTTTATCTTGTACAAAATTATAATTAACACAATATTCAATTATCATACAGTAAGAGTAACATTACTAAATCCACCATACTTTTTATTAACATGAGGGTTTTATTTAGAACTGTCCATCAGCCCAACTGATGACCTGGATGATGTCTGGGTTGGCTCAATCTTTCCTGAAACAGTTGCTATTTACCTAATATTAAAAAACTTACTAACTTAACTTTGCTAACTTCTACATAAATTTGTATTCATCTTTTAAATCAATATAGTTTGTCCCACTTGTTGACAAATTTACAGTGTGGAAGGCATCGTCAGCCCCTTGACCTAAAGCCCCTTCAAAATTCCTCAAGACCTTCTGTGTATGGTAAATCCTCATCGTCAGTGTCCAGTGTAAACATTGAGTTAAGTGGTGCATGTCGTCCACCAGTTAGCGTAGTGGGTTGTCTCCAGTTATATTATTGCTCTCACACACACACACAGAGGTTCAGTGTGGGGACAAGAGGTGAAACATTATATACTCTTACATACCAGAAAATTGAGGGCCAGTATGGAATTGGACTTTAGACCCTGCAAGTGAAAAGCGATTCTGGTGAGCTGCTGTGACTGTGTGTTCTGAGGATATCTACTTAGTTTATTAGCTTTAAAAGTAACAATATTATATACTGTGTGGAGAAGAGAAGAAGGAACCAATGTTTTAAATTACAAAGCAACTTGTATGCATTCCATAAGTACATTCTGTATTGTAAAGTACTCAGTTATTAACACTTAACCGGCAGCTAAGAACTCCCTACTCTTCACCCCCTCCTGCCTCTGTGAGGAACATGATATTTCCACTAATGATGGCTGCCGTCCCTACAGCTAAATTCCACTGATGATGGCTGCCACTCCTACAGCTAAATTCCAATGATGATGGCTGCCGTCCCTACAGCTAAACTTCACTGACAATAGCTGCAGTTTAAGGGTTAATACCTGTACTCTCTAAAAAAAAAATTATACTACCGAATATCAAATTACATGAACAACATAAAAACAGTACATGTACATCCCCAAAAAATTAATCAATGAATAAAATAAACAAATTGTAAGCTGTGTGTAATAAAACTATCTGTACACTATAACAAAGGGGCCACCACACTACTGAGAAGGAAGAGAAGGGTTAGATAAACAACTTGGAGGATGGGGGTTCTAATTTTATACCAGTGTGAGTCCAGTACCGCTAATTAAAGTCCTCGTAACACAAACAACGAAACTTAACAGACAAACAGACAGACAGACAGAATGAGCACCAGACATTCCTCAACCGGATGCACCAACGTACCGCAAAATTCAACGACAGTAAAGACTTTGATCTGAAACCCTGTAAGGTGGAGATGCATTATTGCTTATTGCTTGACCTATGAAGAGAAGTTAAAGCATCAATTATTGGCTATTTTACACTGACTCACATTAAGTTAAACAAGTTATATTATGTTGAAGCATCAATTATTGGCTATTTTATTTCTGACTTATATTAACTAAGCCTTTTATCTTGGTCTATTAGAGAAGTTATGTTAATGCATCAATCAATAGTTATATTTAAAAAAAGTTACATTAAAGAAGCTTAAAATACATGAGTTAAATATTATATTCAAAAGATATATCCAGTAAATGCTAAGCAGTAATTTTATGCATCAACAGTCACTATATGAAACCCAAATACAAATTATATAAATATTGTACTGTACCCGATTTGTAATAATATTAAAATAATTTATAACATTTGAGAAACATAAATGAATACCAGAGACCTGATATTATCCCTTAGTTTGTGCCATGTCTCTCAACTAACCCAAAATAATAATCAATACTCAAGAGTCAAGGAAAGAATTAACTGTGACTTCAACCAAATGATAATTGTACACAATAAACCATAACTATATCTTATACTGCACTGAATATATCACTCCTCACACACGCACTTCTAACATAAGGTTACTCATGTGGTTGAGTGACTTACCGAGTCTCCGTTGACTTGTCCCTGAGCCGCCTCCCAGGGTTGAGGGGCCTCTTCACAGCCCAGTGCTGCCAGTGGGTCATGAATGAGACTGCGTTGGTGTTGCAGCCACGACTCCTTACATCGTAACTCGTTTAGTTCACGGCGTAGGACATCGCTGGCTCGCTTTAGCACTAGTAATCTGTGGGAGTGACATTTTCTTTTGGGTGAAGACCATGACAAGTTACGGTACATCACATACGACAACAATTATCGGGACACCAGTATGAGGTACTGTACTGTAATGTAAAATACTGTACTCACCATAGATACTGGAATGAGTCATAACTTTAGACATTACTGATACACCCCTGTACCAATTTTTTTTTTTACTTTTCTGAGATTCTACTGTGATCAAGTTACAAATTTAGTATGGCTATAATGCTACAAGCCAAAGCTATCTGTATATGCCATCACAACACACAACTGGATGGATGGATGGCTGTACAAATGGATGAAAAGCAAAACATTCCTAAATCCTCCCCCAGGATGCTAAACAATAAAAATCAAGGTCTATAATACTAAAAATAACCCCAAAACATACAGAGGGAAAACCTTTCAACTATTTCATTTAGTGATTACAAACCTTGTCAACTACTTTAGTTTGGGGGACACTAGGACTACGACGCATTTAAATTGATACAGTATAGTACAATAAAGTCCTTATATTTTTCAACATGTTAACAGTGGCACACATACCTGGATGCAATACCTGTATCCTGTAAAGAGTTCTTCTTGATATTAACCACTTCTGTTTCGTGTTGATTTAATAAGTTTTGTTTCTCCCGAAGTTCCGTCGAGACTTCGTGTAACCTGTGTTCAATGTCACTAAGTCTGAGTCGTAAGGAGTCGACCGTGAGGGAGTCGACGGCCAGCTGACCCGCCTGAAGGGATCCAACGCCATCTCCAAGAAGTTTGTTGCAGAACTCGAAGGTTACAGGGTCAGGCGGTGAGCTCCTGATGGTGTAAGTGGCAGTGTTATGGCTAAGCGAAGTGGAGGAAATATCATTAATAAGAAGACATCAAATATCTACAGTAGTGTATTCACAAAGGGAGGGAAGGAAGCAGCACTGATGAGGGAAGTTAGGGACAAACCATCGCAGGGTACAAAAGATATCTCATTATCAATCCAAGTCAAATCTCGTGTCAAACCAATACAGTATCAAGAACTCTTATGTTAACTTTAAGATTTATTACTTATTAAATACAGCACAGTGCAGTACATTAAATTTGGAATGAAGGAGAATGTGCAGGTAAATAAACTTCACATATAACATTCCTCTTCAACATTATCTAAAGTTACCACAAGATTTTGAGTTTTAGTAATAATCCCCCAACATAGCACCGTATAGTACTGTATGAGAACTGTACATCTCTCTAATTCAGACTCACAAACAGTACAGCACAGATCAACTTTCCTTTTAAACACTAGTATGAGTCTGATGTCCCTCATACCAAAACACCATTTTTTGTTTTAAATGTGTGCCAATTTTAGCATTCATAAAGCACAGCCTGTGTCCTAGTACACCTCCTCAAGCTACCCACACCTCATTAAGACTCTCATAAAATACTTTCACACCACATACTGTACTTAACAGAATGATAAAATAATTCAAAACTATAGATATTTTCATATTGATTAAAGCACTTCCTCCTTCATGACAACTACCCTGTATATAAATTTTCAAATTCTCTTTAATGTACTTTAAGTGACGAGATTTGACATCCATAAGGTAATGCTAACCCAAGAAGGTCCTCGCTGAACTCAAACTTTACCGGCTCAGCCAACATACTCCTGAAGACAGCAGAGAAAGGGTACAGAAAGTTTTGATGGAAAGTCCTATAACATGATGATAGCCATAAGAACACAAAGAACATTTAAAAGAACTTTACTGGGGATAAACTTGAACATACCGTAAGCTTATCAGAGTCATGATCTTAAAGAGTACAGAAAGTTTTATTGGATGGACAGAATAAGTCCTATGACACTAGCAAATGATTATAAAGGACTTGGCTAAGAACAAACCTTCATGATAAGTTTGTTGAAAAGAATTGTATCATATGAGATAAAAAACAAATAATAATTTTTATCCATCCACAGAAAAGCAGAGGAGATAATAAGCTTAATTTCACATCTCTAAATCTTCTGTAAATGTACAGTATATGCCATGATAAAATAAGAAAAATTAAATACAGCAAATAACGTCAGAGAAGCTAACACAATCAGATTGCCATGAAGACTAATCTTTCAACTGAACTGAATACATAAACTAATAAACATAATAAGTCAAGTGAATATAAAATACTTTTGCCAGAGAGCAACACATTACTGAAAATGTCTTTATAGTGAAATATCGAATCAATGTTTATATCATCCCATAACTCAGAGCAGTGTTGACCCAGCCCAAGGTACCTTCCTGCTCTCCTCTCCTGTACTCACTTATTGGTCTCTGAGAAGGACGAGTACTCAGACTTGGGTGAGATGGCCGACACGGAGGAGACCACTTCTGTCTGCAGCTGGGCGTACCTTCCCTGTGTTGTGTCTGTCAGCTCACACACTTCTGTTAGTATTGAACGCCTGAAAAAAAAGTATTTGTTATCTTTTAATATCTCAAGAGTTCTTAAATCTTAACTTAATAAATGATCATTGAGTACTACTAAGGAATTTAATTTAACTTCAAGAACAAATGCTTTTAATTCCACACTTACAAAAGAATTATCCTCAAGGAATGAGATAATTTATTCTGGTTTTCATTTTATGTAGTACAGTAACAACACCTACAGTAGTTACAAGAGAAAATATACCTAATTCCAAATGTTTGTTGAGTTATTGGAATACATGTACCTGTACTGTATACTTCCATGGTCTATGTATTGTACACTGTATACTGTACGTGCATTGTCTGAACACATACTGAACTGTATGCCTGCATAGTCTAAATATAGTACATGCCAAAACGTTTGTAAACTTATATGATGATTTTATAAGAAAGTCTAAAAGTGTGCTACACGCGAGTCTTGCAGAGTACTGTACTGCACTATATTACCAAAAACACCTGCAGCGAAGTAAGTGACTGACTGGGTCTGGGGGAAGCCTTACCATTTATCAATCATGTCCTCCTGCACCCGTTCCTGGTACTCTAGTAAACCAGGAAGTAGAACCGTACGGAAGTCTCTCTCGTAGTCCGCCGCCTCACACAGCAGCAGCACGTAGTCATTGTGCACTTGGTGAAGCTTCTTACACGCCTTCTGATAACGCTCCTTCAACTCGTCCAGCTTACGCCCCGGCTTACCTTGAGGGGTGGTAAATATGAACACCCTTTACTGCCGTCTACTATTACTGCACTACTGTTGTCTAATATTACTTGACAGAATGAGTAAAGTGCATGAAGTGGTAATGTCACAGAAAGGATCACCTGAAGATTAGACACCCCAGCATATTTCACCTGAAGATTAACTATCCTAATGCTACCTGGGGGTTGGTTAGGTCATGTATGTCAAGTTACAGTAGGTTAAGTTAGACTAGGTTTGGTGAGGTCGTTAGGTTAGATTACCGTAGGTAAAGTTAGGTTAGTTTAGGTTAAGCTTTGGTGAAATAAGTTGGAGTGTCTAATCTTCAGGTGATTCCAGGCAATTGCAGCAGTTGAGAAGATTCTGTAGTAATGACTTAAATGACAGCCGGTGTACAAAAGACATACCGGTAGACAGGTAACTCCCGCCATGGCATAATGATATGACAGCCGCGACCAAGAAAAGTTGTGGCAGTTAAAAGACAAATGGAGAAGGTAAAATAGACATCATTTTGCATTAAATTTATCTTACCAGTTGACCTGAATACAATATTACACAATATTAAGGACTACTGGAAATAAGCATCTGGTGGCTTACTTTTTAATTTTATCCTCTTCGCCAATAATCGATCTGTTAGTCACTTAGGTGGTCGGTCACGTCTCTGTTACACACTGTTAGCAAGTACTGGGTATTTACTGTCAACTGAATGTGGTAAAATTATTGTTCTTGTCATGCACTTAGTGTATTTGGAAGTCATAATCGGTCAACCAGCGCCGCCTTACATGACGGAGGTCAACTATTAAGCCACGCCTACCTCCGCTATATAAGACCTGACCTCGTGGTGACCTCTCTCTTTCTACCTACAGCCAGTCTTCAAGTAACACCTCCTCCTCTCCTGCCTGGCGGCTCCCGCTCCCGCCGGCGAGCATGGCGACCCACAAGCAGGTCCTCCTCTGAGCGTCCTCACCAACCAGCTCTCTCTACATCAGGCTTGTAACCACGCTGCCACTTCCCAGCACCAAGCTGAACTGTACACCCAATACAACATGTGTACAGAGAGCACATTGAGTTTCCTTTCTCCATCCCATCCTGAGTGTGAACCCAACATCCCATACCCCACAACTGAACTTACTTGTGTTCATTTTTGTTGGCGTTTATTTTCACTGACGTTCATCTTTACAAACGATCATTTTGACTGACATTTATTCTCACTGGCGTTTATGTTTACTGGCGATCATTTTCACTGGCGTTCATCTTTACTGGCGTTCATCTTTACTGGCGATCATTTTCACTGGCGTTCATCTTTACTGGCGATCTTTACTGGCGTTCATCTTTACTGGCGATCATTTTCACTGGCGTTCATCTTTACTGGCGATCATTTTCACTGCGTTCATCTTTACTGGCGATCATTTTCACTGGCGTTCTTTACTGGCGATCGTTTATTTTCACTGGCGTTCATCTTCACTGGCGTTCATCTTCACTAGCGATCATTTTCACTGGCGTTCATCTTCACTGGCGATCATTTTCACTGGCGTTCATCTTTACTAGCGATCATTTTCACTGGCGTTCATCTTCACTGGCGATCATTTTCACTGGCGTTCATCTTTACTGGCGATCATTTTCACTGGCGTTCATCTTCACTGGCGATCATTTTCACTGGCGTTCATCTTCACTGGCGTTCATCTTCACTGGCGATCATTTTCACTGGCGTTCATCTTTACTGGCGATCATTTTCACTGGCGTTCATCTTTACTGGCGATCATTTTCACTGGCGTTCATCTATACTGGTGATCAATTTCACTAGCGTTTATCTTTACTGGCGTTCACACTTGAAACCTTCACAACCGTTCACTCTCGGAGCCAGATTGCAGGTTAACTTCTTCTTCTTCTTATTATTATTATTATTACTACAATTATTATTATTTCATGTTGTTTATAGATTCATGGCATATTAAAGTTTCAACGATATATATAATAATAGCCCCTCTTAATAGACCGACTGGCCACAGATCGATCAACGGCGAAGAGGATAAAAATAAACTGGTGATTATCTACCCTAGACTAACCTTGAGTTGCCCAGGTACACGCAGATGATTTTACTCAATAAGGGTTGTTATTATTACTATTATTATTATTATTATTATTACGAATTACAACTAGGATGAGAGAAATTGTCAGAAGTAAAAAATAAAGACATTCTTCTTACCTTTGAGGAACTGGTCTTCGTATTTAGTTTTAGAAGTCTTGTAGTGCTCAAGTGCTTGTTCATAGTTGTTCTTAGACTTCCCTACAGCTTCTTGTAACTGCGGAGTAAATCATTATTATTATGCTGTAAATAAGGAATGTGTTGAATTCTTATAACTCCACATCACAAGACAGAGTTGGGTCATTATCATCAATTCATCATCCACATCCCTATCTCTAATGCTTTTACTACTAATAATTCTACTTTTTATACTACTACTACTAATTGTATTATTACTTTTTTTCTTCATATAATGGCCTCCATCCACCCCTTATAGCCATTACCTTCGTCGCCATTTTATTACCTTAATATTAAATATCCTCATACATAAGTAGCTATCCGAGCTGTGTTGAGTTAGTTGAGCCGCAGATCCATGCGGCATTCAGTGACTGTTGCCTCATAGTCAATATCTGCTACTACTACTACAAATATCAATACTACTACTAGTAATAAAAATACTAATACTACAGTACTACTACCACTAATTACTTCAACTACTCAGGGGGCGGATCCAGGAATATCAAAAGGAGGGTTATGGGTGGGGAAACACGGCGAGCACAGCAAATCTGACCAATATTATGGCCATTTTGAAACCATGCGCACTTGATATTAGAAGATATTCTAAAGTCAGTAGTAAATACTTTTTACTTTAAATAAATGCCTGAGTACAATACTGCATTAAAGAAAAAGTATTGGACTTTTCTGGTGAAAAGGGGGGGTCCGGACCCCCCTGGATCCGCCCTTGCTACTACTACTTCAACAATTGGTATTACTATTTCTCCTAATACTACATACTACAACTACTAATACTACATCACTATTACTTCTACTACCACTAAATCTACAACTACTATTACTACTCTTAACAACAACAATACTCACTCTAGTAACTTCATTGGTAATCCTCTGGTGTTCCTCGTAGTAGACCTTCCTAGAGGCTCGCTTCTCCGTGATGAGGGCGGCCAGTTTGTCCACAGTATCTACAACCAGTGTGTCCGCGTTCTGTCGCATGATACTGCTCCACTCATCCAACCCCTCAACCATCATCCGCCACGCCTGGGGATGATATTATACAACACGAAATAAATCATCCAGCCACTCAACCAACACCTGTCAGTTCACTAGTAAGAGAAGTGACCTACCCGACTGAGCTGTCAAGTTGTGTCGAGTTTAAGTAAGAAAAATGTAGAAAGTGACAGTTCAAAAGTTAAGACAAGAGGCAGAAATAACCACCACACTTATACCTACTTTATACACATATCCACAACTTTACAGCAGTATTACACAAAATGAATATTTACCATGAACAATGAATGAATGTGAATGGAGATAGTTGTGACGTAAATTATTGATGTTGTTATAAGTTATTACAACGCTTTCATCACCCAAGGTCTTTTAAGTGCATAACTAGGATAGTAATTTACACTAGTTCATCAACAATTAAATAGTCAGTGAGACAGAACTCTTGTGAATTAATAAAGATACTAAGAAACCCATTTTATATTATGTTTAGTTATTTAAGTTTGAGGATTTAAAGATGTGTGGATGTTTCTACTCGTTGTCTCCTTATATAAATCCGTCCCGTTTGTCAGTAACTTACTTATTAAGTTAATTAAGTCGGATTCTAAAAAAAACGCAGGTTCCCTTAGAATAAAATAAAAGTGAATACAAACTCACTAACATAATTAACATGACTTAAAAAGCATTAATTTATTTTTTATGTTTACAATTACGGCCCCGAGAGATTATTAAAAAAAAACATAAAAATATAAAACGAGAGAAAACGTGGGAGTAAAATTCAGTTAAGGGGAAACTGTTCACTCGAGCATGGACGCTGGCTCGATGACTGCATGTATCCTGTATCATTTGCATTCCTTCTCGTCAGCTCCCTCTCTCTCACCTTATGAAGATGAGAGTCGTCCAGTACATTATCCGGGGCGTCCATCTTGGCGGCCGTGTGAGCAAGCTGCGTTAGTGCGGCGGCGTAGTCCCTGTCGCATTTGGCCCGCGCTACCAACACTCTGCGCATCGTGTCCAGGAGGCGTAACTCCGCGTCCTGGCGAGCCAACAGGGCCGCATGGCTTGTCTCCCCCTGTAGGGATGCACTGAACCCCATCACCGACCTATGGGGAGAATGGGGGAGGTTAGGAAGTACAGAAATGGGGGTGTATGGGGTGAGGGAGAGCAGAGAGAGAGAGAGAGAGAGAGAGAGAGAGAGAGAGAGAGAGAGAGAGAGAGAGAGAGAGAGAGAGAGAGACTAATTTCAACTTTGATGATAAGGTCTCAGAGCAGTGGTGAGGGGGGGAGGGGAGGAAGGGGGGAAGGAGGGGGAGGGGGAGGAGAGGTAGGAGAGGAAGGAGAGGAGATTAATGGGTAGGGAGAGTATGATTGAGATGAGGAGGAGGAAAAGATGAAAGGGAGAAAGAAAGTTTGAGTAGAAAAGTGGATTCAAAGGAGAAAGAGAGAGGGGGGAGGAAGAGGGAACAAAAGGGGAGAGGGAACCAAAGGGGAGAGAAGGAGGAATGAGAGAGGGAGAGAAAAGAAGGAGGATATAATTGGGAAGAAATGGATGAAGAAGATAAAAGAGGAAAGAAGAGAAGAGACAGGAAAGGAAAGAGAAACAGAATGTGAGAAATAATATAGACAAACAAAACAGTCTATGCACCAGGGCGGCAAACTCTTAAGTAAACACACACAAACTTACCAACTGTATCGGATCCACAAAACACATATATTAAACCCGACTAGATATTAAAACTTTCATTCGTGGCATCAAAATAAACCTTGATGAAACACAAACACAGATATACAGGAAAATACATAAACATACCACAAAATACACAAGAAATATCCTTCCGCCACCCACTCCTTTCCCTCTCATCCTTCCTCCCCTCTCCCTCCCACTCTCCTTTCGTCCATCCCTCTCTCTCCCGCCCCCCACTTCCCCTCATCGATAGAGCTATTCTTGGCCGCCACCTGCCGCCACTCACTTACCTGTCTGCAGCCAATCAACTATTTAGTGAGTTACACCTTATTGCCCGAGACCTGTCCCTTATGATGACGTCAAGGGTGATTCTCTCTCTCTCTCTCTCTCTCTCTCTCTCTCTCTCTCTCTCTCTCTCTCTCTCCATATACACAGACATATAAATATAAACGACCCTGATCTAATCTTCATAAAATAAATTTAATAATATTATAACAGTAACACAACCCTGATTTAGCTTTCACAATATCAATAAATAACATGCATAACAGTACACGACCCTGATCTAGTTTCCGGTAATGGCTGCTCAAGGGTCTGTGATTGGTGGGGTAGTAGTAATAAGAAATGAGCATTGTTATGGTTGGTAATTCCGGGTTGTGTTGTGGGGGATGATAGCTGTGACCTTAGGCGCCGTCGTGTGACATTGATATAGTGTTTTCAGTGTGTGGGGGGGGTAGATGTCTTCCCCATTCCCTTCTCTCTCTCCTTTATTCTCTCCCTTTTATGTCTCTTCCCCTCCCACGCACACACTCACTCCCTCAATCAGTTGATCCTTATTTCATACTGACAGACTAATAAATTATCTATCTATATGTTAAATGTCTATCGTTGACCTCATCTACTAACTACACCCTACATACACACAATACACAGAGAGAGAGAGAGGCCACGGTAGCAGCCACCCTCCTACAGTGTGGGAGATGGAGAAAGCGTCACCCCCCCACAGGTGTACGAGCTCAGGTGACTAGCACGGTCAGGTACAACCACTAATGAGCACCAGGTAAACGTGTTGTGGGTACAGTGTTTAACGTGCGTGTGGTTGTAAACGACAACAACAACAACAAAAACAACAACAACAATAATAATAATAATAAAAATAATAATAATAATAATAATTAAATAAAAAAATAAATAAAATAACAATAATAACAATAACAATAATAACAATAACAATAATAACAATAACAATAATAACAATAACAATAATAACAATAACAATAATAACAATAACAACAATAATAATTACGTCATACCTCAAGATGACATCATCACCTTAGCGTATAACGTCACTCAGTCTACATAACATTACAAGATGGCTGCTGTAGTGGTTTAGTACAATTGGTACGCTGTAATTACGCATTTGTCTCTGACTGTAATTATTATGTGCCAATTGAACCCTTCCTCACTTGCCACTAAAACAACTCTGTGTTACTGGGGTGTAGAAAGTGTTATACTGTACTTTCTCCTCGTAGCAGTAGAGAGATTGCTATATTGACTCTTAATAACAATAGTGAAAGTGTTAGTTATACTTCTATACTTTCCCCGTATAGCACACGTAGAGAGGGAGGGGGGGCAGAAGGATAGAGAGACGGAAGGAAAGAAAGGAGGGAAGAAGGGGGGAAAGAGAGAGGGGTGGCGGGGGAGGGAAGGAAGGAGGGGGAAAGAAAGAGGGAGGTGGGATGCATTGGGGGAGGGGATAGGAATGAGGCAAGGGAGGGATGGAAGGGTTGTACAGACTGAGGGAAGGAAGGATCACGGAGGGAAGGTGAACTGAATGCTACAGACCACCACCACAGCATCGAGGCGAGGCACAACACTAACAGAGAACCTCGACTTAGATTCTAACCTAACCTAACCCAACACAACCTAACCCAACCCAACACAACCTAACTCATACTACTCTAACTCTAACCCAAATACAACCTAATCCAACCCAACACAACCTAACCTCCACTACTCTAACCTAACCCAACCCAACACAACTCCAACCCACACTACTCTAACCTAACCCAACCCAACACAACCTAACCTACACTCACTCTAACCCCAACCCAACACAACCCAACCTACACCACTCTAACCTAACCTAACCTAACCTAACCTACCAACGACTTAGATGACAAGTTTCAATGAGGGTCAAACAGGGTACTTTAAATACCTGTCAAGGCGGTGGGCACTGGCACTCTGGCCTCAACAGGAAGTGCCACTTTTGACCCTTAAGAGTTCCTTTCTCATGGGAGCCTAGTACACCCCCCCTTTAAGTACACCAGTTCACAAGATGTGTCACAAAGAGTCGTTGGTGTTTCTGAGAAGTGTGTGTGTGTGTGTGTGTGTGTGTGTGTGTGTGTGTGTGTGTGTGTGTCAAAGTATAAACAACTGGAAAGGTTACAAATCACTGGAAAGATTCGGGGTGGAGCGAGGCGACATTTCCTGAGGCTATTGGGAGGATGAGTGAAAGTCTCTCATCAGGGATTGGAAGTTGTGCAGAAGATTCGGAATTAATTGATTTACTTTTATTTCCCTTAAGTTATGACATCTGGGTATTAGTTATTAAGGAGATTGGGACGATGAAGATATTAGCTAATCACTTCTAATCAGTTTGAAAAGTAAAGGAAAATTTTGTGGGTTCATGGAAAAACTTACGACGGATTGAATGATTGGTGGAATAAAAAACAATAATAACAATAATAACCAAAATAATAATAAAAATAATAATAATAAAAATAACAATAATAATAATAAAATAATAACAACAACAACAACAACAATAATAATAATAATAATAATAACAATAACAACAACAATAATAATAATAATAATAATAATAATAATAATAATAATAATAATAACTCTGTAAACACAAACATCAAGGGGACTCTGTTAACACTCTGTACTTAAAACATTACACAAGAATGTTAAGTACACCCACAATTACTTACAACACCCCCAGCGACACACCCTTACACCCAGAACTCTCATAATACACCCTTAACCCTTTGAGGACGAAACGTTCATGTAATAACCCTTTGAGGACGATGTTTCAAGTAATAACCCTTTGAGGACGATGTTTCAAGTAATAACCCTTTGAGGACGATGTTTCAAGTAATAACCCTTTGAGGACGATGTTTCAAGTAATAACCCTTTGAGGACGTTGTTTCAAGTAATAACCCTTTGTAATAGCTCAATAATAGTCCTTTGAGGTCGGTTAATCCTTAATACTCAAAGGGTTTAACCATCGTCCTCAAAGGGTGAAGTAATCCATTAGTAGTTCAAGACTTAGTAGGCAGGTGTGGACACAGGGGCATCTTAGGGCTTATATCCGGTATCTTTGGTACACCCATAACGCAGAGTGAGTGTAAGGGGTGAGGTGTGGGTGTTGAGTGTAGTGTAAGTGTATCAGTGTACAGTATATGTCGCCTACAGTAGGTCAGTACACAGTATATAGATTCAGTGTAGGGGGTGTAGATACGGTCTGACTCAGTACACATAAGCAGTCAGATTAAGTGTAGGAGTGTAGGTAAAGACTATACCAGTAGATAGAGTGTAAGTGTAGGGGTGTAGGTGTCGGCCGCCCCAGTACACAGGACATACACTCACCCGTGCCACCAGTTCCACAAGCGGTACTGGAACCCGTAAATATGAGAGAGCAGCTCCATGTCTGTGTGCCGCCACCAGCACCACGACTCAACCTTCCAAGTCACTGTTACAAATTTCCAGAACTATTCAAGTTACACTGTAAATCGCTGATGACCTGAACACGTCACGGGGTCGGGAGCGTCACTGTACACGACACATCAACGTGGTTAACATCAACAGGCTGATTAACATGACAACTTGAAGACGTTAATGTAGTGCCGCGTGGTCCAGTGAGTCTCAAGCGTCACCATGTGCATCACTGACCTCTCGTCTTACTGTGTTACAATGTGTATCTGTGAGTTTGTATACACAGGCATCACCACGTGTGGATCTCCAACACCGACACAGGTTACACTACACCCACGCGGGACAGTAGAGCATTACAGCACTGATGGCGGCTGCGACAAAACACTATGTTAGTATCGTTTACATTAGTTTCCCCTGGTCACTCGTCGCCCCAGACGTCGACTGGGCTAGGGTGGAGCTACCCACTAGTTGGGGTATGTCACACAGCACGGCCCCGTCCCTCCCTCAATCATTATCGCTTTTTACCTCTCTCTCCACTCCCTAATCACCTCCTTCGCTACTCCAGACGCTGTTTTAAGGTCTTATTTAATTATACTCTTCGTCCGTGGGCGCCAGAAGGCCAAGGTTAAGAGTGTAGAGGCGTCAGGAATCAGTTTCTGGGAAAGACTGGAAACTGTGGCGGCGAGATTGGAAGGA